CCCCAGTTGTTTTTCCTGGTTTATCTGCATGTGAATGTGGGACTGCCCACTCCACCAGCCACTGCCTTGCTGGGTCTGCCAGCTGAGGCCTTGCTGCGAGTCCTCTCTTCCTGGTTGCCCATCTCTGCCCCTTCTACTGGCCTGGATGAGTGTGTCTTCTTTGACTCCTTGGTTGTTGGACTTCCTTACAGTTCAATTTTCTGTTAGTTCTGGTTGTTATCTTGTTTTTAAATTGTTGGTTGTCCTTTTAGTTGTGTGACGAGGCACAGTGTGTCTACCTACGCCTCCATCTTGGCTGGAAGCCCCCTGAATAAATAAAATCTTTTAAAAATATTAAAGATTCTGTCGAGCAGTGAAAACAAACCATTCTGATAGATTTTTAAATTAGATTATACTTATGATATGCATACTAGTTTTAATCTCTATGGTTGACCCTGATGTGACTGAAAGCTAAATCCAATTCTTTTGTCAAATCATTCATTCCATGCTTTTGTTTCTTGAACATGTTTCTTAAAAATACAATGTTGGGGCTCTTCTGGAAAGCAGCCAGAGGTGACCTCTAAAAATGGTCACTGTTCATTTGACCCAGAGAACCCTACAAAGTCATGTAAATCAAGAGGTTCAAATCTTCATTTTCACTTTAAGAACACTCCTGAAACTTCCTAGGCCATCAAGGGTATGCATATTCAAAAAGCCACCAAGAATCTGAAGGATGTTATTTTGCAGAAGCAGTGTGTGATATTTACTTTTAGTTGTTACAATGGTGAACTTGGTAGGTGTGCCCAAATCAAACAGTGGGGCTTGACTCAGGACTGGTGGCCCAAAAAGCACTGAATTTTTGCTACACATGATTAAAACTGCAGAGAGTGATGCTGAAGTAAGGGTTTACATGTGGAGTCTCTGGTGTTGGACACATCCAAGATAACTAAGCTCCTAAAATACAGCATAGAATTTACAAAGCCTATGGACATATTAACCCACACATCTCTCCCTGCCACAGAGATGATCCTTCCTAAAAAAGAGCAAATTATTACTAAACTAGAAGAGGTAATTGCAGAGAAGAAAAAGATATCCCAGAAGAAACTAAAGAAACAAAAACTTATGGCCTGGGAGTAAATTCAGCATAAAATAAATACTAATAAAAGTGAAAACAGGAAAAAAAAATATTGGGAATCGATGTGGAATCTTTGAAAAGTAGACAATGGAGATCATTGGTCAACCCAATAAACAGTATTAAATATATGAAAGTGGAGCTTCCCTCAGATATCTGTCCTGCTTTTGTTCACATAAAACATTTACTCTTTTTTCAATACAATTATACTTAATTTACTCCATACTCTACTTTAGGAAGGTTCATATTAGGAACACAGGCAAATTGCCCTGGCTGATGTAGTTCAGTGGATTGAATGCTGTCCTGTGAACTTAAAGGTCACTGGTTCAATTCCCAGTCAGGGCACATGCCTGGGTGCAAGCCAGGTCCCCAGCTGGGGGTGTGTGAGAGGCAACTGACCCGATATATCTCTCACACATCACTGTTTCTCTCTCCCTGTCTTTCTCCTTCCTTTCCCCTCTCCCTAAAATTAAATAAATAAAATAATGACATTAGAATCACAGGTAAATTATCAGCTGCCTAATCTACATAATTAATGAAAAAGAACTTTTTCAAAATATTGAAAATCCAAAACCTGAACATCTTTACACGGGTTTTCTTCCCACGCTGTGTGCCCAGTATATGGATGACAGCTTCCCCAGTGTAGGACTCCAAGGAACAATTCATTCCAAACACTCTTCCAACAAGAGAGAGGATGAAGTACTGAGCCGGGCCTTAGACAATGCCATATCTGGCATTGAGAACCTTCTTTTTGTCTGTTTTAGAGAAATGTAACCTTGTCACATATCCAGTAAAGGTGAAGCGTCTTCAACCAACATCAAAGGCAGAGGCCAGTTTTCTCAAGCCATCCCTGCATCCCTGCATCCCTCCGAGCAGCACATGCTTCAGTCAAGGGGAAAAACATTTACTTCTCACCCCAAAAGAAATTTTTAAAAGTCCTAGGCTTCAATCACAAATGTATATAAGCATTTAATGAGACTCCTCTGATTCAAAGCCACATATAGGGTCTTCCTCATGTACCATACTATGGTGGAACACAATACCACCTCAATAAAACTTCCCATTTAGAAAAGAAAAAGAAAGGACGTACTCTGAGGCCTCTGGTCCACACCAAATGGGCAGCTTTGCTGGGCAGAATGTACTTTAGGGACCTATTTCTGGGGGCTGGAGTGAGGAATCATCCTTTTTTTGACTCCAGTTCTGAGAATAGTTATCCTGCCCTTTTATTTACTTGTTTCTGACTTCACCTAGTCAAATGTAATAGAGTACTAGAAATTATGCCTTCCTAGTGAAATAAGCAGCTTTCCCCAGCTACTTCTGATAAATATTTAGTTTCAAAATTATTGTAAGTTTATCAGGTCACAGTGATTTATGGTAGAAGTTTGTAGAACTGTAAATAATACAACAGTGTGTTTTTTTTTAAAGTAGTACTTTATGTGGAACAAAAGAATGCCATTTTTTATTACCTATACCCACCATTTTTGGCACCATGTGTCTGTCATCTTAGTTTTATTCCAGGGTCCTAGTGCTTCTTAGGTAAATAAAAATAAATAAAATCATTTAAAAAATAACTGTTAAAAGGCAATGCCAGAACTTTGATGCGAACCATACACATGCAAATACTATTCCAGTTTTTTTTAACTAAATCTTTTTTACATTTTCTTTCTTTATATATAGAGAGAGGGGGAAGGGAGGGAGAGAGAAGATAAACATCAGTGTGTGAGTGAAACATTCATCAGTTATCTCTCAGCTGTTTTTTTTTCTTTTTTAAAAAAAGATTTTATCCATTTATTTTTAGAGAGGGAAGGGAGGGAGATAGAGAGAGAGAAACATCAATGTGAGGTTGCTGGGGGCCGTGGCCTGCAACCCAGGTATGTGGCCTGACTGGGAATCGAACCTGCGACACTTTGGTTCACAGCCCGAGCTCAATCCACTGAGCTATGCCAGCCAGGGCTTCAGCTGTTTTTCATACACTGCCAACTGGGGACCTGGCCCCTAACCTAGGCATGTGCCATGAATGGGAATTGAACTGGTGACTTTTCAGTTCAGAGGATGGCACTCATTCCACTGAGTCACACTAGCCAGGGCTCCAGTTCTTTCTATTCAAACTTTCCAAAAACAGCTTCTCTTTACAATTTCCAAGTTTAAGACCCATTTTTCAACAATCTTTAATAAACCCATTATTGTCATTCACAGAAGAAAATCACCATTTCTTCTGCATTGTATCTACCCCATAATCTTTTAATAAACTTATCACTCTCTTCCCATGAAAAGCCCAGTACTGCTTTTCATGGTCTGTTGGTAGGGCATTTTTTTCTGTAAACTTAACATGCTCTTTCTAGAGATGGGCACCCTGAACCTAGTAAATATGGAGACTTACAGTTTTATGTAATTCCCTGCCTTCCCTGATGCTAATGTATACAGTCAGGAATTTCATATTGAGCATCCTTGTTTTCCAGGAGCAATGGATACCAAAGAACCATACCTAATGAAGTTAAACCCTTTTATCATATTGATTGCTTCCCAGACACCATCGCAAAAGGCCTTTAAATATTTCTTGACATAAACAGATATCGATCTTTTAAGTAAAATTAATAAATATTAATACTTTTTAAAAATCAGATAGCTAAACACTAAAGATAATGTGCTATGTGTACACATTCTTGTCCCTGTGATACACATTAGCTGAATTTTAACAGTTTGACTAGTAATTTTTTTGCAGTATGTAAGGTCCTCCTGGGTTAAACTCAGAAAACTAAAACCTTAATTATACCTAGTATGGATTCTTAAATATGTGGTCTTTCAGCAGAATGGGTTAGAAAATTGACTACATTCATTACATTTGTAAGCATTCTCATTATGAAAATTTTGGAACATCCAGAAGGCATACAATCCCTTAGACATAGTTCCATCTTCCATATATTAGCGTAGTTCAGTTCTGCATAAATTTCATCACTACTCAAAAGGCATAGACCAGGAGAGTCAAACTCATTTTCACGGGGGGGCCACATCAGCCTTGTGGCTGCCTTCAAAGGGCAGAAATAATTTTAGGACTGTATAAATGTGACTACTCCTTAACTGTTAAGGAGTTGAAATTACATTTGGCCTTTTGAAGGCAACTGCAAGGCTGATGTGGGACCTGGTGAAAATGAGTTTGACACCCCTGGCATAGACATTTAATGAAAAGCCTAATGACATTCACATTTGTTAAACTGTTCTCTGATATGATATCCAGTTTTGATGTTCAGGTCAAAGCATTAACATGGACATGATTTACACATGGTTTCTCTCAAAGATATACATTCTGATGTCTAGGGAATTGTGAGGGGTGGAAAAAGGCTATGCTACAGACATTTACATAATTTCTCTTCACTATGGCTTTTCCAGTGTTGTATAACACTGAACTCAAAAGCAACTTCTTTACCAAACTCATTGCATTTGGAACAGTATTGCTTCCATGTTTCCCAACCACTGACCTTTGAGTAAACACTTTGCCACTTGTTAATTTTTGAGATATGTCTTCAGGATGTACATTCTGCTGTCTAGTAAAGAATAAACCTTAATGCAGGATGACTGCTATGTGGGGCAGTTAGTGGATGGAGGGATCAAGCAAAAAGGAAAAAGGACTCATGCACATGGACAACAGTGTGGTGACTGTGGTGGGGGGTAGGTATAATGGGGCTAAATGATAATAAAAAATACAATAAATTTTAAATCAAGTAGGCAAAAAATAATACCTTAATAAAAATGGGCAAATGACATAAAAATGTTGCCCTATCCACAGGAAGTATGAAATCTTTGGTGAACCCTGAGTTTCAGGAAATACTCAAGAGCCTGTCCATGCCCAGTACATATTTAAGGCTTCTCTTCAATATAAATTCTCTGATGTTGAATGAGGCTTGAGCAATGGTGAAAGGTATTCTTAAAATTTTCATTTTTATTGTTTTTCTCCAGCATGAATTCTCCAATATTGTGTATGTTTTGAACACAGGTTTAAAGCTTTCCCACATTACCTACGTTTGTATGATTTGTCTCCATAAGAATTCTCTGGTGTTAGGTAAGATACTACTAATGATTAAAAGATTTTGCACCTATGCTACATTTATAAGGTTTCACTCCAGTATGAATGACATGTTTCGAGTAAGTTTTAAAGAGCGATTAAAGGCTTTCATATACATATTTTTCCCACATATATAAAGCTTTCCTCCAGTATGAATTCTCTGATGGTCAGTCAGGGGTGAGGACTGGACAAAAACATTGCCACATTCTCTACATTTATAAGGCTTCTTTTCCAGTATAAATTCTGTGATTCTAAGTGTTCATTAATCATAAAAGGATATACTACATTCTATTTGTAAGATTTCTCCTGAGTGTGAGATCCTCTCTCATGTGGAGTAAAACATGAATGCTTATTAAAGGCTTTGACACATGCTTTACATTTGTAAGTTTTCTCTCCATTATAATTTGTCTCATGTTGTGTAAAACACCAATAGAAATAAAAAGTTTTCCCACATTTTCCACATTTATAAGGTTTCTCTCAACAATGTTTTTTTTTAAATATTATTTATTTATTTTTAGAGAGAGGGGAAGGAAAAGAGAGGGAGAGAAACATCAATGTGTGGTTGCCTCTCATGCACCCATTACTGGGATCCTGACCTGGCCCACAACCCAGGCATGTGCCCTGAGTAAGAATGGAACTGGTAACCCTCTGGTTTTCAGGCCAGTGGTCAATCCACTAAGCCACACCAGCCAGGGCTCACCAATGTTTTATTTCATGTTTAGTAAGGTACAGCTGAAAATAAAAAATGCTTTGCCACACTTTTTACATCTGTAAGGTTTGTCTCCACAAAGAATGATCTGATGAGAAGCTTTGAAAAGTGTTAAAGGCTCTGTCATATTCTCTATATTTGTAAAAATTGTACCACACTTGTTACATCTATAAAATTTCTGTCCAGTATGGACTTTCTGATATCCAATAACATTTGAACACCAGTAAAAGGTTTTGCCACATTTTCTACACATTAATGTTTCTCTCGTGTGAATTTTCTGATTTTTAGTAAGGTTTGAGCACTAGCTAAAGGATTTAACATATACTCTACATATAGAGCACTTTATACAGGATAATTTCTCCTATGATTGGTAACAGCTTAAGACCAACAGCTTTGCAATATTCTCTATATTCATAAGACTTCTATCCAATATGAATTTTCTGATGTCGATTAAGCTTTGAGGACTTGCTAAAGGCTTTACCACATTCTCTACATTTGTAAGGCTTTTCTCCACTATGAATCTTCTGATGTTCAGTAAGGTATGAATACCGGATAAAGGCTTTACCACATTCTTTACATTTATAAGACTTCTCTCCAGTGTGGATTATCTGATGATAAGTAAGGTGTGAGAACTGCCTAAAGGCTTTGCCACATTCTGTACATTTATAAGGCTTCTCCCCAGTATGAATTTTCTGGTGTTTAGTAAGGTATGAGGACTGGCTAAAAGCTTTACCACATTCTCTACATTGATAAGGCTTCTCTCCAGTATGAATTTTCTGATGTTGAGTAAGGTATGAAGACCGGCTAAAGGCTTTACCACATTCTGTACATTGATAAGGCTTCTCTCCAGTATGAATTTTCTGATGTTCAGTAAGGTGAATGGACTGCCTAAAGGCTTTGCCACATTCTCTACATTGATAAGGCTTCTCTCCAGTATGAATTTTCTGATGTTTAGTAAGGTCTGAGGAATGACTGAAGACTTTACCACAATCTCTACATTTATAAGGCTTCTCACTAGTATGAATTCTCTGATGATAAGTAAGCTTTGAGGACTTGCTAAAGGCTTTACCACATTCTCTACATTTATATGACTTCTCTCCAGTATGAATCATCTGATGATAAGTAAGGTGTGAGAACTGCCTATAGGCTTTGCCACATTCTCTACATTGATAAGGCTTCCCTCCAATATGAATCTTCTGGTGTTTGGTAAGGTAAGAGGACTGGCTAAAAGCTTTACCACATTCTCTACATTGATAAGGCTTCCCTCCAGTATGAATCTTCTGATGTTTAGTAAGGAATGAGGACTGGCTAAAGTCTTCACCACATTCTCTGCATTTGTAAGGTTTCTCACCAGTATGAATTCTTCTTTCATGTTCAATAAGACATGAATTCCATTTAAAGGATTTGCCACATGTTTTACATTCATAGAACTTCTCTCCTATATGAATTATCTGATGTGCACTAAGAGCTGAGGGGCAATTAAATGTTTTACCACATATTTTACATTTATAACGTTTTTCTCCTGTACGGATTACCTTAAGTCTACTTCCACTGAATATCTGACTGAAGATTTTGTCACACGGTACACATTTGTAACCATCCTCCCTTGTATGAATATTTCCTTTTTTATCTTGAGTTGAAGATTGTTTAAAAGATTGGACACATTCACTTTGTTTGTCTGTCTTCTCCACAATAGGAATAACCTGATGTGTATTGCGATTTGACATCTGGACAAAGACTTTTTCACCTTGGTTTTGGGTCTCTGGAAGCTCAGTATTCTGATGTGTATTAAGATTTGACTTGTGGTCAAAATTTTTCCAATGTTCATCACACTGATAACTTCTGTCTTCGTTATATGTACCCTGGTAATCATTGAAGATAAAAAGACCTTTAGTGAAAGCTCTAAGTTCTGCAAACATATATACTTATTCCCAAATGACTATACCTATTAAACCATGTTGGTGGTATAAAAAATCATTGCTGCCCTAACTGGTGTTGCTCAGTGGGTTGGGCTTCATCCCACAGACAAATGTCACTGGCTCGATTCCCGGTTAATGTACATGCTTGAGTTGCAAGCCAGGTCCCTGGTTGGGGCTCATGCGAGAGACACCTGATAGATGTTTCTCTCTCACATCAATGTTTCTGTCCCTCTCTCTCACCCTCTCTGACCCTCTCTCTATAAATCGGTAATATCTTTTAAAAAAAAATTGTTCCCAAGTTAACAAAAAATTATGCATATTGAAATAAAAACCTTATTTTTCTTTTTTAGATTTAATTTATTTTTAGACAGACAGGAAGGAAGGGAGAGAGGGAGAGAAACATCAATATGTGGTTGCCTCTTGTGCTCCCCTCACTGGGGAATCCAGCCAGCAACCCAGGCATATGCCCCAACTGGGAGTCCAACCTGTGACCTTTTGCTTCTCAGGCCAGCGTTCAATCCACTGAGTTATACCAGCCGGGGCAAAACCCTTATTTTTCAATTAAGTACATTATTTTAATTTGATATGTGCATTATAAAACACTGAATTTTAAATTATTGACTGAAAGTTTAATCTTACTCTACATTTTAAACAATTCAAATCATTGCTCACACAATGGATTATGTGAGTTCCTAGATTTTCCAGATTGCCTTTAGAATATATACCCTTAGAATGTTTCCAGTCTTTGCATTTATTAACACATTTTACTGAAACTATAACTGACTTAAACAGGGGGTGGGTTCCCCAAATGTATTCTATTTTTTTTAATATTTTTTATTGATTATGCTATTATAGTTTTCCCAGTTTACCCGCTCTAATCCCTCTCTGCTCTGTCCCCCCAACCCTGCAGCAAATGTGTACTATTTTAAACCTCATTAGGTAACAAGGATTTTTTTAAAATAAATAATTGTCCCAAGTTACATTATTAAACCACACCTTCTATATCTTACCAGCATTATTTTAGAGAATAAATCTTCCATCCCTGGGTTTCTCAACAAGGCCTGGTTGTCTTCAGATGACAAAGCTGAAAAATACAAAATAAAGTTTCACCATTTTGACAGTGTGGTGAGTGTACATTGAACTTACCAGCAAGTATTGACCAAATTACATTTTTGAGTACTCCAAAAGAAAGTTAAATGTTAAAAGCAAGACAAAGAAAGGTACGTGAGGTAAAGTCACATCAAAAAAAAAGTTGTACTTAAAAGAAAAAAATCAATTAATGAAAAAAATCAGTTTTCCTCCCGGGTGCTTGAAGATCAGCTGCCATCATGAACTACACAGTAACTATCCGGATCAGGAAGTTCACGACCAATAGACTACTTCACCAAAGCAGATGGTCATTAATGTTCTTCACTCTGGGGAGGCAACAGCTTGCAAGAAAGAAATGCAAGAAGAACTGGCCAAAATGTATAAGACCGCACCAAATGGTAACTTTGTTCTAGGATGCAGAACCCATTTTGGTGCTGGCAAAACAACAGCCTTTGCCATGATTTATGATTTTATGGATTACACACATAAAAAAATTACCCAAACACAGACTTGCAAGATATGGCCTACACGAGAAGACAACGTCATCAAGATAACAGCTAGGAACACAAGAAAACAATGAAGAAAGTCAGGTGGACTGCAAAGGACAATCTTGGTGCTAGCAAAAAGAAGATTCTTTACTGACTTAATCAGTGGACATTATGCAGATTTTTCATGACAGAAGTAAAAACTAAGAAATTTTTAAAAAATGTATTTATGATCCTAAACTGGATTGCTGGTAGTATAAGACCTCACTAGTACCCCAGGTGACTGAAACATTCAAAGAGTTCACTATCAAAATAACAATGACACTTTTGGCAAAAATAGCATATTTATTCTAAAACTAAGCATATACTTATTATATGATCCAGTAATTGTGCTCCTTAGTATTTAACCAAAGAGCTAAAAACTTTTGTCTACACAAAAGCCTACAAAGGACTATTTATCAAAGCTTCAATCATAACATTAAAAATTGGAAGCGATGAAGATATGTCAACAGGTGAATAAATGAATAAACTAAAATACATACAGTAAACTATTATTAAGTGCTATAAAGAAATAACACATCAAGTCATGAAAAGACATGAAGGAAACCTAGATACATAAGACTAAGGGAAGTAATTTAATCTGCCTGACCAGGTGCTCAGTTGCTTAGAGCATCATTCCGATATGCTAAGGTTGCAGGTTCAATCTCCAATCAGGGCACATACAAGATTCAACTAATAAATGTATAAATAAGCAGAACAACAAATCAATGTTTCTATCTACCCCTCTTTTGCTAAAAAACATGAATAAATGAAATAATAAAAACAAGAATGCAATTTGAAAAGGCTATATAGGATAACAACAACATGACCTTCTAGAAAAAACAAAGTGAGAGAAACAGTAAAAAGATAAAAGGTGCAGAAGTTTCAGAGACATAGGGAAAAACAGGCAGAGCACAAAGAGTATTAGGGCTGAGCAATTAGTTGGTATGACACTGTAATCATGAGTATGTGTCATCATAAATTTTCAAAACCCAAAGAACATACAACCCAGAAGTGAACCTGACAGCAACTAAAACTTTGGGTAAGAATGATGCGCCAATGTATGTTCACACACATCACAAATGTACCACTCTGATGGGGGTACTGAGCATGGGAGGAGATTATGCATGTGATAATTCTTACTAACTTGTACACAACTTTGCTGTGAACCTAAAACTGCTCTTTGAAGTCATTAATAGACCATCTCCTTTAAAGTGTCAGTATTCAGATCTAAGAGTCTTTCTTATGGTTCTTTATGCACATCCAAGAAACAAATGTTTGCATCCTCCATTAAAATCATACGCGCAAATGTATCACTTCACAATAATTATGATGACCAGTATCAATGAAACAAACAATATCAAGTGTTTCCAAAAGTGTGGAGAAACTGGAAACTACACACAGTTGAATGACAGATAAATTGGTGCAAACTGGATAATGAGGGGGTTTCTCAAGAAAATTAAAAATAGAATTGTTTTTAAATTCCACTTTTTATTTCTGGGTATTTATAAAAAAAGAATTCAAAGGAGAATCTGCAAGAGACATGTGCACACCTGTGTCAATTGTAGCATTACTCACAAAAGCCTGTATAGAGGTAAACAATCCCTGTATCTATGGATAAATAACTAGATTTAAAAATGTAGTACATGCATACAATGGGATAATCTTGTGCCAGAAAATAGAAAAAAATCTGAGTGCACAACAACAAACATTGAGGACACTTTTTAAGTGAAGCACACAAGTCACAAACAGACATTATAGGATTCCACTTAGTTGAGTGATCTAATAAGGTCAATATCATAGGAATAAAAAGGTAGTTATCTGGACCTTGGTTTTAAGGTAAATGAGGAAGTACGTGTTTAATGATATGGAGACATTTCTGCAGGATGGAAGTTTCTAGACATCAGATAAAACAACAAAGAGAGTACACTTAATACAACTGTACTATACAATTACAGATGGATAAGATGCTAGATTTTATTCACATGGTTTATTAAAATTTAAAATAAAAATAATACCTAAGAGATAGTTATGAAACTTTTCAAAATTTACATTCGATTTAGAAAATTTTTTTCAAATGTATTTTATTGATTATGCTATCAGTTGTCCCATGTGTCCCCTCCTCTTTATTTCCCTCCTCCTTAGTTCATATCCATGGGTTGTACATGTCCTTCAGCTTCTCCATTTCCTGTACTATTCTTAATCTCCCCCTATTTTGTATCTACCACTTATGCTTCTTATTCCCTGTACGTTTATCTCACATGAACAAAATATAAATTCATCCATGAATAGGTAGATATAAAATTAAAGCTATTTCCATAACTACACTGGGCAAAACAACCTTTGACTGTTAACCAAGCACAGAAAGAAACAAGGTAAGTCATGAACAAAGCAGGGTAAAAACCAGACAAATGTGCACATAAATTTAGTAGCAATTGACATGTGGCTGGTTCATATTTCAATTAAGTTCCACAATGTTTTCAGTGTACTGAGTTGAAAACTATCACACACTTTCCTAATATATAAACAAAAACCAAAATGTCAATCAACTAAATTTGAGGAACCTATCATAGAAAAAGAAACATGCTAGACTACCAGTGGGAATTGTGGCTGAGTGAGACTGAGGTATGCTCGAGTCCCAGTCTTTCTCTTAAAGGGCTGGCAAAGACTTACTGGGATTCGCTTACTGTGACCTCAAGCCTTGGGACAGCAGCTTGAAAGGTAGTAGGGGCTTGCAAGCCAAAACTGAATTGGCTGGCATCAGAGAAAAAGCTGGAGAGGCAGCTTTCTCCTACACGGAATTGCTGGCAGAGCCCTCCCCAATACAAACCTAGCAGGCAGGTGCCATATCTGAGTCACCATCTACCTGGCTTACACTGTAGCTCTGTCCTAAAGATTTCCTGAGATGTTGCCCCACTTAACTTGAGAGCCCACCCATGCCATGTCCAGTGGCTGTTCTGTACAAGTGGCCTCTCGTCTCATACTTCAGACAATCCTTAATCTTAGAAACAAACTGTATTTGGCCTCTGCATGTCCCTTACATCTCATCCAGTGGCCACATGTCTGGCACTAGCCACAGCTGGCCTTGGGTTACAATATCATGTCCCTGGGTACCTCCAAAACCAGCACAAGTAGGATCCATCTGCATATCACTCTGTAACTATGTCAAGGCACCCGGGCAATTCATAGGTTGTGGCTAACATGGCACCTCCAGGGAGGACCCAGAGCCTGTGCACCCAGTAGACAGGTTAAGACCATGTCAGATTATAGCCCTATCACTTCTACAATGACACACTAACGGAGCAGACTCTTTGAGCACCATGGCCCACTGAACATTCTTTTTTTTAAAGATTTTATTTATTTATTTTTAGAGAAGAGAAGGAAGGAACAAGAAGAAGAAGAGAATATCAATGTGTGGTTGCTTCTCACATACCCCCAACTAGGGACCTGGCCTGCAACCCAGGCATGTGTCCTGACTAGGAATTGAACCTGTGACCCTTTGGTTCAAAGGCCAGCACTCAATCCACTGAGCCACACCAGTCAGGGCGTTGAACATTCTTTTTAATATGAACTGCCAAATAATTCTGTAACTCACTTCTTACCAAAGGAACACATTCGAACATATTCTATCAGCACTTCTGAATCTAAAAGCAAATGTGACGAAGGTCTAATTAGAAAGTGAAAATGCATAGGACACAGTCCTAGGTAGCTGTGGACAGAACAAGAGAGAATGATAAAGTCATAGTGATAAAGAAATCAGATAAAAATAAATACTTTTTTACCTGGTTGGCAGGTCACCTATAACAGTAACTTATTGAAGAACTCAATGAGGTGAATAGATACAGTAAACTAATATGAAGGAATTAAAAAATACAGACTAGAAATAATCTTATTTAGTTCATACAAAGCAAAAAAAGTTCTTAAATGAAACCCAAAATGAGATTTTCATGGTCTGGGGAGGTGCATTATGCTGTGATAAAAATCACTGACTCTGAACTTCGTAGATCTTGTTTGAAGACTCCATAGAATTAGAAATTATATACCAGAATATGTGACATCTGACTCTAGGGTTACTGGGATTTCTGCAACAAATTCTAGGATCTTAACCCCTTCCTCTATAAACACCTTTCATGAGACAAGAACAAAACTTTAAAAAACAGGCCTAACACACAATTTGTCAACGAAGTGCACAGATTTTCCCAGGTACCCAAAGCAAATGAAGAGGAGCCAGATGATGGTGGCCCTCACAGTCCAAGGAGAGGACTTTGGCCCCAACTGCTATTGGATGAAAGAGGTCACTGGAGTAGAAACAGAGGCATGAGAGAATGTAGGAGCATGGGACACTATTGGAAACCAGCTGGCCCTCAATGACAGCAATAGAAATAAACCTGGGCTTTTCAAAATCCTTTCCACTGAAGCACAGCATCCGGAATCACACCTTAAAGTCTGCCTTTCTCCGTGACCTTTTTGCCTTTCACCTTTGTCATCGGCTTCCCTATTTCCACCTACCTGGGTGAGCAGAAATTAACTTTTTTCTCTGCATATCCCAGCACTCCTTCATTTGCTCCAAAAAGGTGACCAGGTATGGCTTAGAGACAACAAGACCTGTTTATAAAAGAAAGAAACATTAGTTCTGATAGAGATGTTCCCATTTCCAATCTACTTTGTGAGCAGGTAAGAAGACTGCTAGAAAGTTAGAATATTCTAGAAAGTGACTTTCCAAAATACTGTTTTCTGATAGCATGCTAATTATTCTGGACAACATGTAAAATTTCAGACACTGAGTTCCTAATTCTTACAGTTCAAGAAGTCTTTTCTTACAAAAGCAGATAACCTCCAATTTCTCTCTTGAGAGCAAGATTCTAAACTGTGCAAAGCATGAGCCACAAAAAGTATTAAACCAATAAAGAAAAATAAAAACCATGCAGGTTGAGCAAGAGCTCTGAAAGGAAGTCATCCGCACCCAGAGAGACTAAGTTCCTGTAGTTCTCCAGTATCACATCCATGTACAGTTTCCGCTGAGCTGGGCCCAGGCATTCCCACTCCTCCTGAGAAAAATCTACTGACACATCCTTGAAGGTCAACAATCCCTGAAAAAAAAAAAAGACACATTTACCAAGGAGACACCAGAAGAGTCCAACATAAAAATAGAATTAGCAAAAGTGGTTCCGACCTAAGAGAGTATCCTGATTTATATAGTAAGATCATGTTGACCCATAATATTCTCTAATGTTATTTTCAAATACTGAGAAATGAGGATGGCATAGATATACAAATCCACTGTAGAGACTTTACTTTTCAGGAAAATAAACTTTAAAATGAAGGCATTGACACATGCATATGTTGTAATTGAATCACTCATAATCAATTGTGTGTATTTCGCAGCTGGAAAAGACATGGTGAGTTGGAAGTATAAGTACTTCTTCATGTTTAATTCAGACAACAAAGTACTGCAGTTTTGTAAGAATGCAGATTTGGATTCAGGAGTTTTGGGCTGGGACCTGTATTTCCACATCTTTAACAAGCTCCCTTTTTACTAATGACACGAATGACTCTGATCCACATGCCACACAAAAAGGAAAACAGAATATAACTCATATATGACATTGAGCTTAAGGAGTTTTATACAATTTACAGTTCTTAAGAAATAAGAAACATTAGCAGCCACAATTTTATTTGAAAACTTAGCATAAGTAATCTTAGAGCAAGGTTATTCTTCCTATGTTATGAGAATATTTTGGTTTTCTTTTTTAAAAAATTTTATTTATTTACTTTTAGAGAGAGAGGAAGAGAGGGAGAGAGAGAGGGAGAGAAAAATCAATCTGTGGTTGCCTCTCGCTCGTCCCCTACTGGGGACATGGCCTGCCACCCAGGCATGTGTCCGGACCAGGAATCAAACCCTTTGGTTCACAGGCTGGTGCTCAATCCACAGAGCCACACCATCCAGGGCTACGAGAATATTGTCTAAAACATACAGCAAAAGGTAGACCTTGAAAGTGACTTCAAACTTGATCTACAATTCCCTCCCCCCAAAAGATCCCCCAAATACTCAAATATGTACACAGAGACGTTCATTGTGGAAGTACATTGCAATTTCTGTAACTAACAAAAACTACTTAAGAAAGTTAGAAGACAAAGTAGCTCAAATAAAGTAGCATTTATGCACACAGACATATATATATATGTGGAAACTAAGTACAATTGAAAAGTGATAGAAAACAGAATTTTCTTGTCAGTGAGGGTAAGATTATATTAGGATTCTATAAATCTCATAAGTCTATGTGTGGATGATACCCTTTGTCTTTTATAAACATAATGAGAAGAATATATAATAAAAAAGAAGTTAGTTATTGTTTATTAATCTTTAATTTTAAAAAATGTTTGTATACCATTAGTAAAGAGCTATATCTTAGAAATTTAACTGAATTGAACATACATTAATATGACTCACAAATTTTTTTAAAATACAAAAAGTGTTAATGTCAAGTATGTCTATGACACGAGTGTGGAATATAACAAAAATCTACAAAAACAAAGCCTGATTAATCAAGTGCTCCATGTCAAAGCTAATGACCTCTAAGAAAAAAAGTAAGGCCTTCATTTTCCAAAGCAAACAGAAACTAAGAGGGGAGTTTCCAAATGAAATGAAATGTAGTGGTTTTTTTTACATCTCTCAATAATTCCCTGCTTGACCTTGTTCATTATAAAAAGAAACTATTAACTGTATAGTAAAAAGACCACCCTAGCCACAGGAATATCAGGTGGACTGAAACAACAGATACCAGGTGACTGAGGTACATGTACTCACTGCTGTGACATTACTGGCAAAAATACAGAAATAAAGAAATCATTACATGAAAATGATCACAAATAAACATTATTTTTTGCAAATGCAAATGTACATGTACCTCTCCCATGTATCAAACACAAATATTGTAGTACACTTAAATAGTAAGATTTTTGTACAAATCTAGTGAGCAAGTCTCTTCTATTTATTCTTTGTCAGAACTTTCTGAATTAGCCTGGCCAGTAAAATGGGTATTTTCTTACTTCTGGTCTACATAGCTGATGATGCTCTAGGCACATGAACCTAAAGTCTACCTGTCCCTTCTTCACTAAAACTTGAGCCTCTGAACCCATCCCAACTGGGATTATGGACACAGGTGACTTCTCAGGTTGATCTGTCACAGAGGGGATATGTTCAGTAGTTGAATCATTAATTCAGGGCAGGAATTCTTCATGTCATTGGAGAGCCTGGATAAAGAAAATGCAGAAAAGGCTCTGGGACAAAGGAGAGAAGTATATAAACTGCTAACCTTGACAATCATAAGAAGAAAGGAAAAAAATAAGTAGATAAAAACAACCTCCCTAGCCAAAAAACTGAGAAGCAGAGAAATAAAGGTTGCAGTTTCTAAATCCACTGATGTCAGGAAGAAAAGTAATCAGCCTCCAATCAGGACACATCATTTACCTGAGCAACAGCCATGGCGTCTTCATCCTGCTTGGGGTTCTTTTCTCTGGTGACAATATGCTGTGGGGTCATATATGCATTTTGAGGATGTACCTTCAAAAGCATCTGTACAGCCCCTTCATCCATGTCCAGCACACTCATGGCAGAAGGATGAGGAAATACTGAAAATGTCACTCTCTTGTCCTTTGTCCCAGGAGAGTCGGGAACAATGAGCTCCTACATGGACATCACACTGTGAGGTTTTCTTTTTTTTTTTTTAATATGTTCTCTCTTCCCACTGATTTCCACAAACACGGCAATGAGAACGTGCACTGCCCTCCTGAGCTCCAAACCCAGCAGAGCACCTTGTAACCTTCCCTAATCAAAGCCTGCTTCTCACTCTTACAAAGGTGTGCGGGCATGCCTTTTCCTTCCCATTCTCCTTCCCTTTTACCCTGCAGATAACCTTTGCCTTTTCTTTCTGCCAAGCTCCAAGGGCCCTTCTTTTGACTGTGTCTCTTATTTCCTGAGTCCACTTCAACCTATGTGACTTTCTATCAATAAATATAATTTTTCTTAAAAAAAAAATGTATGCCCTTGCTGGGTGGCTTAGGTGGCTGTAGCACCGTCCCATACATCAAAGTGTTGCAGGTTTGATTCCTGATCAGGGTACTTACCTAGGTTGTGGGTAAGATCCCCAGTCGAGATGGATGCGGGAGTCAGCCTACTGAAATTTCTCTTTCACATCAATGTTCCTTTCTCATTTTCCCCCTCTCTCTAAAATCAATAAACATATCCTTGGGTGAGAAATTTTAATCAATGCATCCAAAGCATTCCTGCTAATCCCTGGGCTCACCTTAGCATCACCTGGACCACCTCATTAAGCAATGATGCCCCACCCAGAGCAGTTGTCCAACTTTGAGCAGGATGACACAGTTGATATGATTTCTCAAATCTCCTCAGGTGATTTAATAGGAGTCTGAAGGGAAACAGTTTAGCTCTAATAAGCATGCAGACCCCTAGGGAATGAGGGTTCAACTCTATGTTATAATTCTGCAAGTCAGCAATGCAGCCTTTGAAATGGCATCTTTTTCTAGTTCCCTCCTGGTGCATGTGTTGCTCCCTAAAAGCTCTTATCTGTAGCACTGGGCCAGACATATCACACTCAGCACACCTTTGACTCCTGAGTACTGTGAGGACTTCAGGCAAAAACTCCTAAAATGACAGACTCCCTAGGGAAATTTTTTTCTTCTTTTCCAAGAAATTACAAAGAATTATTTTCAAAACACAAAATGATAAATGCAAGTTTTGATGTTGAAAAACTTAAAAAAAAAGGTTAGCATTGAAGGTACGTTTATCAAATTACACAATGAATAGATACGCTCTGTGGGAACCACATTTCAGATAATCCAGTCCATCCTTCAATATTTTCAGAGTATGGACAATAGGGACTAAAGTGGAAGAGCTCCTTTTTGGTTCATAGTCACTAATTCAACAAATCATGTCAATGCAAGAAAATAGCTGCTGAACATTAGACAAACTCATGAAACTAGATTCTGAATCTTAAGATCACTGACATCCTTATCAAGTGCACACTGTAAGAGCCAGATATTAATTACTAAGTATCAATGGATGCTGCAACTTACAGAATAAACACTAGAAAGGATGTAGGGCTCAGAATTTAAACTAGATGCAATATATTGAAAAGGAAAATTATCTGGAACTTTTTGAATGTAATGACTTCTATAGTCAATATTTTTAAAAAGATGAGACTACTTCATATTTAGAAAACAATGTTAAGTGCTGGTTCAGAGATATCACCAATGCTTATTTCAAATTAGTGACTACAGAAAAGCAGATATTCAATGGAGTCAGATTTATCTCAATACGTTTTTTAAAAAATACATTCAAAGTAAGATAAAAAAAAAATCCAATGGAGAGAGAAAAAAGACCTAATGGTTTTAATATTCCTTGAAGAAGCACCATGTAGTGAGAGACTCAGTCACATCTTGTCCCAGGTCACCTTCCTCTTGCCATCCCAGGAAATGAGAAAGGACCCATGACTGGAAGACAAGTTTCTGCCCTCTGAGTAAATAATGGTTCCAGTTTGAAGCTAAGAATGATAAAATTCACAAGCCTTATAAACTGGAGATTTGCAACTGTCATTCAAATCTATTTAAGTGAAAAAAATCCAGCAAATGTTAAATATATATAAAGTCAGAAGCCAATATCTTACAAATTAATCATCCACATCCTTCTTCCTGCCACTCTGTATTTCTGTGTATGGATCTGTTTCTCTCCCCTGTTTCTCTGCACTGTTGTCCTTTCCTGTGTTTCCCCTCCCACCTTCCCTGCTCCTTCTCCCCTTTTCTCTATTCCTGTACCTACTCCTGTTCCCTCAAACAACTGAAACCTATTTCACCGTCACTTGCTCTTTCTCTCTGATATATTTGATTGCTCCCGTCTTCATACACTTCTGCATTCCCCGCCCATGCCTGTGTCCCCTCTGCTGCCCCTATTAGGCTTTCCTGTCACCTCCCACACGCTGGCTGACTCTCAGCGCTCTTTGTCCCTCTGATCCGTCATCCCCAAACCCCCTTCCCGTCCCACCGCTCGCTCCCCTAACTCTTCTCCTCAGAACCACTCCCTCTGACAGACGTCTCGCCCTTTGCTGCCCCCTCTGCTCCCAGCAAGCTCCTCTTGTCTCTGTGGGGCTCCCCCGGCTCCTCAGCATTTCATCCCTGCCTTCCTACTCTGGCTACTTTCCCCACCTATCCTTTCATTCCTAAGTCGCGGCCCCCCCCCCGCCCCCATCCCCTGCGTTGCCGACTCCTACGGCCCCTCACCGATCTCTTCTCCCCCTCACGCGTCAGCGTCGTGCCTCTCATTCCTTTTCCGGATTCCCTCACAGCCTTGTTCCGCGGCTTTCCCGCCCACTCGCCCCACCCCACTTCGCCCTCACCGCTTCCACAAATCCTTCCCTGCGTGGGCAGGTCACCTCTTCTGGGGACACCCTGTTCTCCTCTCCTAAGTCCCATCCCATAGAAAGTGTGTTCTTATCGGGTCGGGTCTGTTATTAAATTGGGGGTGGGGTCTGCAGAGCCCGCGGCCCGGGCGAAATCCCGGCTCCAGGGATCGAGTAGCGAGTCAGAGGGGTGGGATGCACAGGATTTGACTGCGTCTCCCGAGACTTTAAAGGGAGTAGAGTGGGAGTGCTGCCCAGGGAAGCGCTTTCAGCAGGAAAATTTCCCTGCAAGCTGTGCCCATTGCCTGAAGGCTGAGTTTTCCTGAAACTATCGCAGAGCGTCTCAGGGAGACACCGGACTCACCGCCAAGGGAGGGTAGGAGCGGCGATTTCATCGACTGTAGTGACCCTCCGTCTTCACGTGCGTAGGAAGGAGGACTGAGAAAATTAGGTTTCAACGGGAAAAAAAAGAAACCTGGAAGAACAACGCAGACCTTGCTACTCCACAGCTGCTTTTGCGTCTGTAAGGAACTGCGCATGCTCTACACGTCAAAATAGGGGCAGGGTCAGAGCCCGAGGCTAGCGTCTGTGCTTTGGAAGATGGGTCTGTGGCGAGGCAGCCCTTTACAGAGATAGAGGAAAGCAGAAGGTGGATGGGCCCAGCGGCCTGTCCTGGGCTCCGCTCCGCCTCGTTGTCATTGGTTATGGTCTTTCCTTGCTCACTGTGTTTGGTTTACCCACATCATTACTTCTACAATTTGTACCAGTGAAAGGGGAGGGAAACGGAATCTGGGTGACGGAGGAACTTGAGTTGGAAAAGTTTTAGTTTTAGGTAACCGTTAATAAACTTAGTAGTTAATGTAAGTAAAAAGCTATTGTTGCCAGACTGAAGGTACAGTCCATCATGACTCCAGGGGACCACAAGAAAGTCAACCTCTGTGCCCCAGAAGAGACTATAAGCAATCAAGATGCTGTCTGAGCCATGTGTTCCAGGGAGAGACATCCCACCGTCCAGGGCACAGATAAAGAAAATTACCCAGTGTATCAGGGTGCAGCCAGGCCCCCACACCCAAATAGGGATTTGTAATGTGGTTCAGAACTCGGGGTGTCCAGGAAATATTAAAAATATAAGATGTCCTCACCCATACAAGTCTGAACTGGGGGATGGGACATGTGGAACAGGGCCTTTGAGAGTTATTTTGCATATCAACAGTTTTGCAAATAAGAACAGTCATTCAATGTAGCTGTAACTCTTTTTTAAATCCTTTCCACTTGCTTTCTGTTATAACTTTTTTTTAAAGATTTTATTTATTTTGGAGAGAGGGGGAGGGAGAAAGAGGGAGAGAAACATCAATGTGTGGTTGCCTCTCACCTGGCCCCCAGGCCCACAACTCAGGCATGTGCCCTGACTGGGAATCAAACTGGTGACCCTTTGGTTCACAGCCCACGCTCAATCCACTGAGCTACACCAGTCAGGGCTCATATCTGTAACTTCTGACAAGTTTCATAGATATGTTAAGTAATCATGCCCATGCTTTGAGCCAGTGAAATGGGAGTGACTTCCACCCAGGACATAACTGGGAAGCAACTCCCCCTGGTTACAGCACCTGTATGAGAGCTTGAAGATGGTTGGCTTCATGTTAGGGGGCCATGCCTTCCTGCACTTACTATGGCAGCCCAGAAAAGCTGGAGAAATATGGGAATGCTGGAAGGTGTAGCTGATTGTGGGAGGAGTCAGAAATGGGGACGCAGAGGAAGATTCGTGCCAGGATTTAAATTCAGGTGCCTCAGCCCTGTGGGATGGGACCACACTGTCTTGAGGTTGGAGGAAACACATGTTTTTTGACAAAGTGTGTAACTATGCAGTTTTGGGGTTCCCTTTGCCACGCAGCTTAGGAAGCTCGAAAGCAAGATGTAGAAGTGATATAGAAGTGATACAGAGCTCTCTCGACAGTTTGGAAGAATGCAGTAGAGACATTGCAGGAAGGAAAGGGGTGAAAGGACTCTTGCTGTTGGCCATGAGAAGGTGCCATGCGGGTTTGGATTAAGAACTGGAGATCCTGGTGACACAGCTGATGGTGCTGGGAACCTCAGAAGGCCTGCCAGCCAAGCACGGATTACTGGGAAGAACCAGGGGCGACCTGAGCCACGGACTTCTATTTCTTTGCCTGAGGTATGGTGCCCCAGACTGGGCAAAGGGGGGAAGGAAAGACTGTGTGTTTGTGGGTGTTTTAAGGGACTTTGGGATTTTAACGAAGACATTAAGTCATTACTCTAAGTCTGTATAACTTTCAAAAAAGTCATTCCTTTCCTTTTCATCAAACTCTGGCACTGAGAGCCATAATTCCTTGGTGGTTGGCAAGGTGAACCTAGTACAGGAGGACTCCAGTAGAAGAGGGGGATCCATTCAGTAACAGTATTTTGCCCCATTCCACCATGGGTCCATTCTGTAACACCAGGATACAGGACACAGGACCCAGATTTAAAAAATCACCAGTGGATGAAAGGATGTTAGGGAAATTGCCGGACTACATTTTTTCATCTGATTAACCTCCTTCCTGAATTCCAAACCCCTTACCCTACACTTTTCTCCTTATAAAAAGGGTAGGATTGAAATGGAATTTAAGGTAGTTGGTTAGGGTACATAACCTGCTGTCTTCTCAGATCTCCAGATATCTGGATAAAGTGCCCATAAAGATTCAATCCCTGTCTCTGCTTATTGGTCCTGGTAGTGACAGGCAACACAAACACCAACTTTTCTGGTTTCACTGGGATCACGCTGCTTGTCACTGCTCGGCCAAAAAAGAGAGACAGGGATTGGATTATAATGGTGCTTTTTATTAATATCAGAAGTCAGCAATCAGAGAAATTGGCAGGTAAAAACCCTAAGATCCACCTTCCCCTTGAGTTTTCAAAAATTTATGTTGGAGAAACATGAGAATCTGGGAGGGAGGGATTCCCAGGGGGAGCATGGCCTTGAGCTTTCCCTTGGGTGTAAGGGGACAGGGATCTGCAAAGGCAGTTGAGCAGCTTCAGCCCAAGCCCCCTCCCTTCCTTCTGGTGTTCTCTCTCCATTATGGGGCATAGATAGTAAACCAAGGCAGGAAGGAGACAAGTCTCATCCACAAACTCAGCAGTCCTGAGCTTTGCCCAACAGGATTGCCAGGTGTTCCAAACATCACAAGAAACTCCATGACAGTGTAGGAGGGAGCTCTTGAAATTCTGCAACATTTCCACTATCGGGGAGAAAGCCTGTGAAACTGTGTATTCATCCTACAGTTTAGAAGGGGAAAGACAGTGCCCAAAGAAAATGCCCTTAAAACAACTTTTGCTAATTGCCTGTCTATGTTCACTATCTGTTTTACAAGACAGTCCCAGTGCTTACAAAAGGAGCCCATAAATAACTTTGGCTAACTGCCTCAACTTTAGTTAAATGCATCCTGTCAGGTGTCTGTTTTACAAGATGAACAAATGTGGAATTGAGTAAGGTAAGAATTTTGGTTAACAACCCTCCACACATACCTACTTTTGGATAGTCAAGTCCCCCTGAGGGAAGCTGGCACACCTTTACCCACCAATGAATATGTAATTATGTCACCTCCATCCTTCAAACTATATAAGCTCTCAGAACAAAGGATGTTTGCTTTTGTCACCCTTGCTTTTTGTGACCCAAGCCTATGCCTTTCACCACCAACTTGGCTAGGCCAGTTCTCTTCCATGAGAACTTCTCACTCATAAACTTTGCTGGCATGCTAACAAACAATGCTGATCTGTATTCTTTACTGTACTAGCAAGAAGTGAGGTTTTCCCGTACCACCCCTTTGCCTTAGTTTTCCTTCCTTCCCTGGACACCAGTGTTTTATGGCCTGTGCCAGTGCCAACCTGTCTCATAGCTGCAAGAAGAGTTGAAAAAAGTTCCGTTGCAGTCTCTCCAGTCTCTGATAAACAAATGTCCTTATTAGTGGTTCCTGGAACATGACAGTCATCCTCTGCATTCCTGGTGGCTGGATGCTTGCTCCAGGGTCGAGCCTGGGTTAAATGTCTCTTTGTTCTCCTTTAGTTGACTATTACTGTAGATCTCAGGCAGAACATAAGGTCATGTATTCACTTAATTGGTTATATATTCTGGTAATAATTATCTAAAAAGTATTCTGTCTCTATTTTCCTTATCCCTAAAAAGGATTTTATCTCTATTTTCCTTATGAATATTTGTTTCCAAAATTAGTATTTTGGTGACCCCAATAATTAAATTCTGAATAAGGTTTTGCCACACATATTCAATATATTTAAGATTTCTATTAGATGTATATTGACTGATGTTTAGTAATCTTTGACTCTTGGTTAAATACATTGCCCAATTCATTATGTTTTAACATCTTCCACATTATGGATTCCTGATGCTCAGTGAATATTCATTCTGCCTCAATTCCTTCCAAATTCATTATATTTGTACTTTTTCTCTAGTGAGTATAACTCTCATATTCATTTATCAGTGAAGAATAGCTCAAAACTCTATTTTTTATTGCAAAATTTGCTTTTCAAACTAGGAAAAAGTCCTTCCAGTTGTGGACACTAAGGAACCATTTTTAAAAATTTCTTAATTTGATTACATTTATATTATGTTTTAAGGTCTATGGTTGACCCTGATGTAACAGAAGGCTTAATCTGATCATTTTATTAACTCTTTCCATGTACTTGTTTCCTGAAGATGGTTTTTGTTTTTTCTTTATATACAATGTTGACAATAGTTTTGGAGATATTTGGAAGGTAGATTATGAGGATTATACATTGTTATAAAAATTACAACCAGTTATGTTGGGATAAATATTTCAATGTGGATCCCCATGTTCACAAGCAAATAAATGGTTGGTAGAAATTTTTATCAAACTAAAAACAGTTGGAGAAGGGCCAATTATCAGTGAAAGTCAAGAATTCAAGAGTTCATTTTGTTTATGGAAAGCTTTGTTGCTCGTAAAATTTACAAGTGAGTGAAATGAATATATTCACAATAAGAAAAAGGCTATTTCCTCAATCAGTGGAAAGTTCCATCATATATCTCCCTGTAATATTAAAATAGATGTAAATTACTAATTTATTAAACAAGTCAAAATCATGATAGAATTCAAAAATCTGAAAAACACAGGCACTTGTGTAACCTGGTCAATTAACCTCTGTTTCACAAAAGACTTTTCATTTTTTTAATAAACATTTATTTTACTTATTTTTAAAGAGAAGTGAAGTGGAGGGGGGGAGAGAAACATGGATCTGTGTCTGGGTACCTGGACCACACCCAGGCATGTGCCCTGACTGGGAATTGAAACAGTGACCTTTTGGTTCACAGACCTGTGCTCAATCCACGGACCCAAATCAGCTAGGGCAAGGCTATTTTTTTTAACACATATGGAACACATAATATTTACCACTGTTGAATTTTTTAAATATGGACTCAAAGAAGGAGAGATTTTGTATAAAAATCATTACTTGAAACAATACTCTTGAGTACAAGATCTACAATGATCTCAAAGGTCAGAGATGGGCATGTCAACAATGCTAGAAAAAAACTATAATGAATAAAGGTAATGGTTGCCAAAAGTGATGGATTTAAAAAATTAAAATTAAAAAATTAAAGAAAATTATTTTTAAAAACACAGGAAATGAAAACATTACATGCAATAAGATAATTGTTGCTGCAGATCATTGGAGTAAAGTATTCAAGGTCATCATAGTAGTTGGGATGTAAAAATACTAAAGTATAATCACTTACAAGACAACATATACTTAATGATACTTAAAAATGTACACAGTATAAAACAAAAAAATAGCAAAGTATTAACCAAAAATTAGGAGAACCAGGACAAAAATTAAAAGTGTGGGAAAAATATAAACCACATGTATACTATTCAAAACAGAATAGACCTTATTAAGATCAAATTAAGTTAGAAAACAAGTAATATGACCAGGGACAATGAAATGTGTTTCATGATCATACTGCAATAATTCATCACAAGGACGCGACAATAACAAAATTATGAACCAAGCAGAACTGGGAACTCTCTGAAAGGCACAGACAGGGTTGCAATGAGAAAAAAATACAGCTACGCACTTCACTTCAGAGGTTCCCAGCCCCCATCCCCTCTGTAATAACTAGAACAAGCAGACAGAAAATAAGTACCTAGAAGTTTGGAACAATACTGTCAGCCACAGATTCGACTGGCATCTGTGCTGTAGGTGGAAGGGGCAGCTTGTGGGGCTGAGCCCTTCACCTGGGGGATCTGATGCCAACTCCTGGGCCATAGTGTCAGAATTGCTGTAAGTTCTCTGACACCTAGCTGGTGTCCCAGAGAACTGCTTAAAGGGAGAAAAACCCACACGTTAGATAACCAGCAGTGTCAGCAGTGTACTGTTTTGTGTAAGTGTGGTAGTACAGTGTGAGTAAAGGGGACACCAAGGAAAGAAGCACACAGTAGGAAAGAAGCACACAGTAGGTAAGGACTGAATTTTTCCCTACACAGACTAAGAAAACAGATTTTTTTCCATGAGAACATTCCACCTATCAATAGAATCATACACAATTTTTAAAGATGCCATAATATTCCACAAAGACTTAAGCATATATACCATGAAATGCCTTAATTTTAAAAAAATTTCAAGTCATACAAAATATGTTTATGACCACAGTGAATTTAAAATGAAAATCAATAGAAAAATCTCTGGGAAATGCTGAAATTTGGAAAATAACACTGGAGAAAGAAGAAACTGAAGTGGAAATTAAAGTATAATCTAAATTCAATGAAACTAAAAAAAGAACAGAATACATCAACATTTACAATTTGCCCCTAGGGCATGAAATAATCAAAACACACTCTAAAAAACCTATAGAAATTAACAAAACACCTATAAGCCCAATGATTCTTTTGTTTTCATTCTCTTTGCTTTGGTTTTCTGTACATTGTTTTGAAGGGCCCTGAGTTGGAAACAGCTCACCCAGGTTGGAGGATTCCTGAGGTGCAGGCAGCCTGATGAACGAGGCCTAGGTGCTTGAAGTTATTTACAAATACTTCATCATGATAAACCAGTTGAAAATGCTGTAAATGACAACATGTAGTCCACTGAGGAAGGTAGAAAATGAGACAGTGTATTTCTAGATGAATTAAAAATAAAGGGCTATTTTAATGGAAATAGAAAATATGAAATAGAAGAAATGAGGGTAATAATGTAGGAAAGGTATTCTTGAAATCAAGATTTCAAAGGTGGTACAATTACGAGACATAAAGTGCTCCCATCTGTAACCTTGCCTTTGTGGGGTTTAGGTAGTAAAGAAAAAAAGAAACTGTCATTGAAAAGCAGAACCAAAGTAAGCAATTAAAAAAAAAAAAAAACCCTCACTGAAATTATGTCAGTCACCTTTCTCAATTCTCTTTGGCTTACCACAACAAACCTCTATTTTTTTTAAGTTGACCTTTTAAAAGATTTTATATATTTATTTTTAGAGAGAGGGGGGAAAAGGGAGAGAGGGAGAAAAATATCAATGCATAAGAGATAAATCTATCAGTTGCATCTCACACATTATCAACCAAGGACCTGGCCTGAGACCCAGGCATGTGCACTGACCAAGAATTGAACTGGCAGCTTTTCAATTTGAAGGCCCATGCTAAATCCACTAAGCGATACCAACCAGGACACAAACCTCTATTTCTTCCTCATTTTATTTTTATATATCTCATGACTATACCTAAGGCAAGGCAAGCTTAATATCAATAGGCAGAGATATGTAACTTCCCGAGAGTGATAACTAGACATATCACAATATATGACAGTGCAGCTTCCACCCGAAATGAATTGTTCCTTCTTTATTCACAGAAAATACTACTGTCCTTCCTAATGAATTTAAAAAAGTCAAATCTACACATGCTTTCAGTCACAAACCAGTATGTTATAAGCATCTCATGAGTTTTTTCTGATTCACTGCCTATGTGCAGTCCTCACTTGACACATTATGGTAGACAGAGCTAACACCTTAATAAACCCTCCCATCCTTTTCTTAATTCCAGTTCTCTTGAGAATAAACATCCAGCCCTCTGTTTCCTTGTTTCTGACTTCACCTAGTCACAGCTAATACAATACTGGAAACAATGCCTTCTCATGAAATTAGCACTTTTCCTCATTTAGTTTCTTCTTATAAATACTTACACTCCCAAAGATTATTGTAAGTCTACCAGGACACACTGATTATTATATGGTACAAGTTTGTAGATCTCTCAACAGTATAGCAGTGTATTAAAAGAATAGCAATTTATGAGATACCAAATAGCCCCACCCACAATTATTAGCAACACATTTTTAGCTCTATAAATTCACTGAAAGGTCCTTATGCTCCTCAGGCCAAATGTGTTTATTCTGTTTTATAAGTCTCTTTTTGGAGATTCTGTTTTCTCCAAAAGGAAGAAGTTCCCAGGACCCATTTAATTCAACTGACAGCTTACTTCAAAGTACATTGGGGCCACATCCTTCATCTGGACTTTGCCATGGTTTTGAGTTTTAACATGCTGTTGATCGTAACAATATTTTTTCCTTTTTTTTCAAAGAGATGAAGGGAGAGAAAAAAGTCAATGTGTGATGGAAACACTGATCGGCTGCCTCTGGTACACACCCAGACAGGGGATCTAACTTGCAACCCGGGTATGTGCCTGGACCACGAATCAAACCTGCAACCCTTTAGCTATGGGACAACATTCCAATCAACTAAGCCACACCACCCAAAGCTTGAAAATACATTTCTGTAAAGATTATATTTATTTACTTTACAAAGAGGGGAAAAGAGGTAAAAAGGGAGAAAAGCAAGTAAGTATGTGTGGGAGAAACATTGACCACAGCCTCTTGCTCATCCCCAACTGGGGACCTGGCCTGCAACCCAGGCATGTGCCCTGACCTGGAATCAAACTGATGACCTTTTCGTTCCCTGTCTGATGCTCAACCCACTGAGCAACACCAGCCAGGGCAATAACTGAAAGTTTTGAATATGTCCTATGTGCTACGCATTACTTAAACAGTTTATGTTTAACTTCTTATCAACATAATAGCTCACTAGAAACAGAGCGGTTCCCATCCTACAGGGAAAAAAACGTGTCACAGACATGGTAAAATACTCGCCTAAGGTCTAAAGCTATGAGTTAACTTGCCAAACACCATGGCCTTTAGAATTGAACCTAAAGAATAAAATAGTCATGTAAGTGACATAACCTTAAAAGTGCAAGGACAAAGCATTCTCTGAAAAATTTAAAATGTTGTAGTTTAACATAGAATCACACAGTTATTAAATTTGTGCTCACTAATGTATACACATAATATGTTACTACCCTTCTAATTACAACTATGGAGTATATTCAAGATACCATTTCCTTTTTTAAAAGTTTTATTTATTTTTAGAGGGGAAGAGAAGGAAAAAGGGAGGGAAACAGCAATGTGTGGTTGCCTCTCATGTGCCCTCTACTGAGGGGGACCTGGCCTACAACCCAACCATGTGCCCTGACTGGGAATTGAACCAGTGACCCTTTGGCTCACAGGTCGGCACTCAGTCCACTGACCCACACCAACCAGAGCTCAGGATATGATTTCAATTATTAAATTAAAAAACTTATGAAATAATGATAACATTTACAAAAACCATTGACTTGCACATTTATACATTCATGCACACAAATATAAACCAATTCAATCCACTGAGCACACCAGCCAGAGCTACATAAATTTTATTCCAACAAAAGTTATTACAAAACAATTCTTAGTATTTCTCTTTTCAAAAAATTATTGATTTCACAGAGAGGAAGGGATAGAGAAAGAAACGTCCATTTGTTATTCCACTTATTTGTGCATTCATTGATGGTTCTTGTATGTGCTCTGACCAGGGGTCAAACCTGCAATCTTGCTGAATTGGTACAATGGTTTAATAAACTGAGCTATCTGGCTAGGGCTTACTGTTTCTCTTTCTTATGCAAAAAATATGCCCTTGTGATGACATTCAACAAAGTTTGGAGTCAACCACACAGTATCTCCATTTAGATTTTGTTCATATATTGTGGATTAGTATGTCCTCAGTCTTCTATGGCAAAGTAGATGACTGAAACCCACCTAATTTGTAAGTTCACAGACCTTTAAGATTTTCATCTCATATGAATTCTCATGTGTCAAATAAGCTATTAATGTGCAAAAAAAGTTTTAAACATTCTTTTCATTCATGTTTTCTCTTTAGAATAAATTCTTATGTTGAGTAAGGTCAGAGTACTTGTTAAAGCTTTTCCACATTTTTTATCTTTGGGAAGAAAAGGGGTGAAATGGGTCATGAGAAGGTGCCACATAGTTTTGGATTAACTGGAGATCCTGGCAACACAGCTGATGGTTCTGAGAACCACACAAGGCCTGCCAGCTGAGTACAGATTACTGAGAAGAATCAGGGGCTACCAGAGCCATTGATGTCTATTTCTTTTCCTGAGATATGGTACCCCAGACTGGGTAAAGGGGGAAGGGAGGATTCTGTGTGTTTGTGGGTGTTTTAAGGGACTTTGGGATTTTAACAAAGACATTAAGTCATTACTCTAAGTCTGTACAACTTTTGAATAAATAATTCTTTTCGTTTTCACCAATCTCTGACATTGAGAGCCATAACTTCCTGGCAGCGAACAAGGTGAACGTAAAACAGGGGGACCCTGTGAGAAGAAAGGGGGTCCATTTGGTAATAGTATTTTGTCTCCTCACCATGGGTCTGTTTGGTAATACAAGCTGTCTCCATAATAATCTGATGAGTATGTTTTGAGAAGCAAATAAAAGCTTTGCCATATTATTCACATTTCTAACATTTACCTCTTTTGTAAATTCTGATATTTAGTAATTAATCAGTGGCAGAAAATGGCTTTCCACATTTTCACATTTGTAAAACATGAGAATGAATTATACAAAATCTACCAAGAATCCACTGCAAAGAAAAGGCTTTATCACATTCCTCGTATCTGTAGGTCTCTTTTTGTGTTTCCCATATTCTACATATTCCTAAGCCTTCTCTTCAGTCTCATAAATTCTGTGCTGCTGAGTGAGTTTTGAGTATTCTTAAAAACTTTGCAATGGTTACATCTGGAGAATTTTTGTCCAGTATAAACTTTCTGATATCCAATCGGGTTTAACCCCTGGTTAAAGGCCTTGCCACATTTCCTACAGATATAAGGCTGCTTTACACCAGTATGAATTTTCTAATCTTGAGTAAGATTTGAGGGCTAGCAAAATGATTTACAAATTCTCTATATTAATAAGGGTTTTCTACATTATGACTTCTTTATTCTAACAGTGGGGGACTGCCTAAAGGATTTGCCACATCCTCTTCATTTATAAGACTAATATGAGGTATGAATTTTCTGATGTTGAATGAGGGTAGAGGACACCCTAAAAGCTTTACCACATTCTCTACATTCATGAGGCTTCTCTCCAGTATGAATTCTTTGATGTTTAGATAGGGTTGAGGACACTCTAAAAGCTTTACCACATTCTTTACATTTGTGAGGCTTCTCTCCAGTGTGAATTCTTTGATGCTTGGTAAGAGTTGAGGACACCCTAAAAGTTTTACCACATTCTCCACATTCATGAGGCTTCTCTCCAGTATGAATTCTCTGATGATTAGTAAGGGTTGAGGACTCTGTAAAGGCTTTACCACATTCTCTACATTTATAAGGCTTCTCCCCAGTATGAATTCTCTGATGTTTAGTAAGGATTGAGGACTCTGTAAAGGCTTTACCACATTCTCTACATTTATAAGGCTTCTCTCCAGTATGAACTTTCTGATGGTGAATAAAGGCTGAGGACTGGCGAAACGATTTATCGCATTCTTTACATTTATATGGCTTTTCTCCAGTATGAATTCTGTGATGGCATTTAAGTTTTGAGGACTGATTAAAAGCTTTACCACACACTCTACATTGATAAAGCTTCTCACCAGTATGAACTCTCTCATGTCGTGTAAGGTTTGACAACCACATAAAGGCTTTATCACATTCTCTACATTTGTAAGGCCTTTCTCCTGTATGAATTTTCTCATGCCGTGTAAGGTATGACAACTTGCTAAAGACTTTACCACATTCTCTACATTTATAAGGCTTTTCCCCAGTATGAATTTTCTGATGTTGAATAAGCCCTGAGGACTGGCTAAAGGCTTTACCACATTCTCTACATTGATAAGGCCTTTCTCCTGTATGAATTCTCTCATGCCGCTTAAGGTATGACAACTTGCTAAAGGCTTTACCACATTCTCTGCACTGGTAATGTTTCTCCCCAGTATGAATTCTTTTCTCATGTGCACTAAAACATGAATGCCTTTTAAAGGCTTTGCCACACAATTTACATTTTTGGAACTTCTTTCCAGCATGAATTTTCTGATGTACAGTAAGACCTAAAGGCTGACTGAATGTTTTCCCACATTCTATATATTCATAATGGTTTTCTACAGTCTGGCATTTCTTAAGTCTATTTCGATTGAGTTTATGACTGAAGACTTTGCTACACGGTACACATTGGTAAGTGACTTCACTGGTACCAGTATTCCCTTGTTTAATATGATTGGAGGACTGCTTCAAAGACTGGACATATCTTCCTGGTTTGTTTGTTTCCTCCACAATAGGAATAACCTGATGTGTACTGTAATTTGACATTTTGTCAAAGAGTTTTTGGTCTTCATAATGGTTGTCTGGAAGCTGAAGATTCTGATGTCTGTAAGGATTAAAGCCATGGTCAAAAGTTTTCCAATGTTCATTACCTTGATAACTTCTGTCTTCACTATATGTACTCTGGTAATTAATGAAGACAGAAAGGCCATTAGTAACAGCTTTAATTTCATTACACATGTACACTTGTTCCCAAATAACTATTCTGTGACATCTACTAAACAATGTTGGTTGTATGTATTTAAAAAATGCGCCCAGCCATGGAGGGTGTGACTGGTTAGTTGAGCACTGTTTCACAAAGTGAAGGCTTTCCAGTTCTAGTTCCAATCAGGGAGCTAGACTAGATCATAGGTTCCATCTATTGTAAGGGTGTGTGCAAATGGGGACCATTTGAGGTTTCTCTCACAAAACAATGTTTGGCTTTCTCTTTCTCCCTCCCCTCCCCTCCCTCTAAAAAAATGAATCAAATTTTTTTAAAACTCACTCCCAAGTATACATGATACATATTTAAATATGAAAACAACCCTTATTTCTCAACAAAGGATAATCAGTCTTTAATTTAAAAAATGATCATATTTAAATTGTCTATGTGCATTATATATCACTAAATTTTAGAAAGCACTGATGGAAAATTTAACTAAATCTACAATTTAATCAATTCAAATGATTATTCACACCATGGATTATGTGAATTCCTAAATGTCCTGACTGACTTTGCAAAAATATATACACATAGGATATTGTTTCTAGTCCTCACATTTAGAAACACATTTATCTGCATTGTCACTAACTTAAAGTAGGATATTTCCCTAATGTGTACCATTTTTGACCTGTAGAGGTAACAAGGATTTTTTCAAGGAATAACTGTCCTAAGTTAGTTAAGTTCCTTTTAACATGCTTTTTCCTTATCACACACTTTCTTATCAGGCCTTCATTACATTATCAAAGGCACACCTTCAGTATCTTACCAGTATTACTTTAGAGAAAAAATCTTCTATCCCTGGCTTTCTCGACAAGGCCTCGTTGTCTTCAGATGACACAGCTGCAAGATACAAAATAGTTTCACAGCTTTGACACTCTGGGGAGCATACACTGACCCTACCAGCAGGTTTTGACCACATTCCATTTTTGAGTACTCCTAAAGAGAGTTAAATGTTCAAAGCAAGAAAAGGTATAAGAAAAAGTCACATCAAAAAGTTTATATTAAAGAAAAAAAAAATTCAGTTTTCTTCCTTGGTTTCTTGAAGATTGGTTACCATCATAAATGACACAGTAATTTATGTGCGAATACAAAAATGTACAGTATTTAAATTAATGAAGCAAATACCTTTACTTTTATTAAGGGACTGGTCTTTGTACTGTGAATTGTGCCTGCTGATCACAATGTGGCCTAGATCCCTGTGATTACAGAGAAAGGCATGCAAAAAAGAGTAAGAATTGTCCGTTTCATTAAGGACGTAGCATGTATTGATTAATTTCCTTTCCTTCCAGAAATATGAAACTGTTGATGAATTACTTCTTAGCTGAAATGTTTAGAGTTAGAGCTGTGGTCTCCATTCTTTTCACTGATTTCTTGGCCACTCTGTCTCGGGGTAATGGCACTTGTGGTTTATGTTGCCTTTCAGCATAATATATTTGATTGAAACGGAATTGTGACTCTTGACAGATTGCACCAGGAAACCAAGAAACCACAACCAACCACAACCAGTGCTAGAGGTAACATATTCCATTATGAAAGGTCATAGTTACATGGTCAATTTTGGGAAATAGTACTTGCTCATGCCATACTTGTTCCTTTTCAAGCAATTAAAAAAAAATAGTCAAAAGATATAGGACCAGCCCAGATTTCAGTTTTGTGTTGGGATTCAGAACCCATTTTGGAGGTGGCAAGACAACTGGCTTTGTCTTGATTTATGATCCAATAAATTACACACACAAAAAAATCCCAAACATACACTTGTACAAAACGGCCAGTATGAGAAGATGAAAACAGAGATAGGTACACAAGAACACAATGAACAAAGTCAGGGGGACTGCAAAGGCCAATATTGGTGCTAACAAAAAAAATAAGTCAAGATTCCTCAGTAACTTTATCAGTGAGAACTCTGCAGGTTTTTCACAAGAGGGTTAATAAACTAAACTTCAAAAAAATTTATCCCATGATCATACATTGGAATGATTAGTGTACGCCATCAGTAGTACCCCAGGTGATCTAAACATTTAAAGCAATACCTATCAAAATCCAACGATATTTTTCACAAAAATAGAATAGTTCATTCAAAATTAAGATGGGGATTGACTGGTATAACTCAGTGGGTTGAGTATCATTTCCCACAAAAGGCGGTTGATTCAATTCCAAGATGCCTGGGTTGCAGGTTATCTCCCCTTTGAAAGCAGCACAGATGGAACCAAGTGATGTTGCTCTTGCATATGGATGTTTCTCTCCCTTTTCTCCTCCTTCAATCCCCTCTCCATAAAACTATATAAATAAAATATTCTTTTTTATATAATAAAATATAATTTTTTTAAATTTTATTTAAATTGTTGTTGCAGTACAATTTTCTATCTTTTACTCCCATCCCAACTCACCACCTAGCCCTCCCCTCCCTCTCATTTCCATCCGCCCCTAGCTTTTATCCATGTGTCCTTTATACTCATTCCTGTAAACCCTTCCCCTTTTCCCCTGAAATTCCCCTGAAATTCCTTCTCCTCTCCCCTCTGAACTCTGTCAGTCTGTTCTTTATTTCAGTGTCTCTGGTTATATTTTGCTTGTTCCTTTGTTTTGTTGTTTAGGTTCCTGTTAAAGGTGAGATCATATGGTATTTGTCTTTCAATGCCTGGCTTATTTTGCTTAGCATAATACTTTCCAGTTGCATCCATGCTATTGCAAAGAGTAGCAGATCCATCTTTCTTTTTCAAATAAAATATTTTTAAAAACATATTTCAAAGCTTCTCTTATTGATAAAGGATATAAAACCATTAAGACAGACATATATAATTAAACACAGAGAATGAAAGAGCCTACATACAACTTCTCCTGTATAAGGTCAAAGGACCTTCCACAAGGATGCTGAATACAGCCAAGTAAGAAAAGGATATTCACATCATCAAAGATAGCTGAAAAAACTGGTTGTCCATGTCTAAAATAATGAGTAAAGTTGGACTCTTTATGAAATAATATACAAATAGAGAATAAGAATGGAGGAAAAATTTAACATAAAACCAATAACTGTTAATCTACTAAATGAAAAGGTATAAAAAAGATTTTGACATATTTTTTTCACTATAACACCAAAAGAAAAAGTAAACAAAGTAAATAGAGACAAATACGATTATACCTAATAGAAAAACTTCTGCACATCATCAGTGGGTGAAAAACACAACCTGTGGAAAGGAAGAAAATTAGTGCAAAGCATATATTTTCTAAAAATTTAGCATTCTGAATATATAAAGTTATCTTTAAGAAAACACTATGATAAAGGAAGTAACACAATTTTAGAAATGACCAAAGACATATGGTTAACTAATCTATAAGAAAAAAGTTAGGGACACACAATGAGAATAGACAGATTCTTTCTTAAGTTGTGCGAGAGAGGCTGGTCTGATGGTAGTGGGTTATCAAAACTCAACTAAAGTTAGTGTCAATAAGCTGTACAAAAGAAACTGAACTAATACACAGAAAATAACATAACTAGACCACTTTCTTATGCCATGTACCAAAATACACTCACAATGGATTAAAAACCAGAATGTAAGACCTGGAACTATGAAAACACTGAAATAAAGGATAGATAGTCAATGATATCTGCTGTAGATGTTACAAATATGTGTATATATGTAAGTAGATATAGCAATCAAGAAAAAATAAACAAATGAGACTACAACAATATAAGTTTTTGCACAGCAAAGGAAACCATCAACAAAACAAAGAACAAATAACCAATCTACCAAATAGGGAAAGTTATCCACCAATGATGCTAAATATCCAAAATATATAAAGAACTTACACATCGAAAAAAATCAAACAATCTCATTAAAAAATGGTAGATATCCTGAATAGATATTTCTTGAAACAGGACAGAAAAATGGCCAATAGACATATGAAAACATGTTCAACATCATTCATCATCAGAGAAATGCAACTTGGACCCACAATGAAATACCATCACACATGTTACAGGATGACAATTCAAATAAATCAACAAACGAGCACCAGCAATGATAAAGAGAAATGACAACGCTCATGCAGCCACTACACAAAAGAAGATGAAGGTTCCTCAGAAATTCACAAACAAGTACTCCAGGACACAGAAATTCCATTTCTGGGGAATTACCTAAAGAATATGAGAATACAAATTCAAAGCAGTGTATGCACACCCATATCAACTGCAGCATTCTTTACACTACTGAACATATAGAACTGAAAAAATCACCACTGCTCTATTAGTACTGTACAATTTGGAAGAAACTAAAAATGTTATTTTAATTGACATGTAATGTCAGAAAGTGATTATCTCATCACGTTCCCCTTCATGATGTGACTCTATATGTTTATATTCTATATTCTAAAAATACAACTGCAAACATAATCTCCAAAGTATTGAATATGAAGCAATCTTCAGAGTATACACATCACATTTTTTTCCTTTTTTTTTTAAAAGCATATTTATTTATTTTCAGACAGAGGAGAAGGGAAGGAGAAAGGGGATAGAGGGAGAGAAACATTAAGGTGTGGCTGCCTCCCAAACACCCCCTACTGGGGGCCCAGCCCTCAACCCAGGCATGTGCCCTGACTGGTAATCAAACCAGTGACCCTTTGGTTCACAGGCCGGTGCTCAATCTACTGAGCCACACCAGTCAGGGCCACATCACACTGTTTCAAGATACATTCTTAACCATCTTTCTTTTTCATTCTGTATTATTAAGATTTAAACTCCCATGTCTTAACTAAAACATTAAGGAAAAAAATATATATAATACTCATCATGAGACAAAAAAGGAGAATCCACAAGCTAAGAAAAAATATTTGCTAAAGATGACATATACAGGATTACATACGAAGGTAACACACGAAGGTATTTTTAAACTCAACAGTGACAAGAAAACAAACCTGCCTAAAAAGGCTCAAACACCTTAAAAGAAAGCACACTAAAAAAGATACATAGATAGAAAATCAGTATCTGAAAAGAACCTCCACATCTTAAGTCAGTAAGGAAATACATAGGAAAACTAAACGAGCAGTGCTGACAACAGCAAATGCTGCTGTGGATGTGGAGCAACTGGAACTCTCATTCATTGCTGGTGAAAATGTAACATTGTACAGTCCCTAGGGAACAGAGTTTGAAAATTCTAACAAAACTAAACATACACTTATTATATGATCCAGTAATTGTGCCCCTTAGTATTTCACCAAAGAACATTAACTTTGGTTCATAAGGATGGACCAATTTAACTTCATAAATATCATGAATGTACTCTTCAGGTGGGAGCACTGAGAAAGGGTGGGGGTTATGTATGTGTGAGTTCTTATTAACTTCTACACAATTTGGCTGCAAAACCAAAACTGCTCTTTGAAAAAGTCATTCACAGACCTTCTTCTCTGATGTATGTTTACTCAAGTCTCTGTGTCTTTCCTATGGTTCTTTACTAACGTCCAAGAATCATGTGTTTGCATTCTCTACTAACACACACACACACTGTGTGTGTGTGTATGTGTATAAATTCACAATTAAGATGACCAGTATCAAAAACAAACAAATAACCAGAAACAATATTAAGTGATTTTCAAAATTGTGGAGAAAATGGACCCTGTACATGACTGAATGAAAGATAAATTAGTACACACAGAATCAGTAACAAGTGGGATATAAAACAATTAAAACTAGAATTGTTTTCTAATTGCATGCTTCCACTTCTGGGTATTTGTCCAAAAGAATTCAAAGCAGGACTTGAGAGAGACATTAGCACACCTGTGTTGACTATAGTACAATTCACAAAAGCATATAATAGGTGGAAGCAACCCCAATGTCTATGGATAAATAAAGAAATAAAAATAATGTAGTATATACATACAAAGGAATTATATTCTGTCAGGAAATTGAAAGAGATCTTAACAACACATACCACAATAACAAAATTCTGGATGTTTTTTAAGAGAAGCACACAAGTCACAAAGACAATATAGGGTGCATTTAGGTAAGTAATCTAATGGAGTCCACCTCACAAGGAAAAAACAAAGATAATTACCTGAGCCTAGGTTTTAAGACAAATGATGAAATGGTTGTTTAATGTACACTGAGATATTTCTGCCAGATGAAAGTTGCAAGAGGTCACATGGACAACAAAGGGAATATACTTAACATAAATGGACTATACAGTTATAGATGGTTAGGATGCCAAATTTGGGGGGGCTTCTGGCAAAAATGGAGGCATAGGTAAACAGCCTTCCTGCCTCACACAAGCCAAAGAAATAACAACCAACATAAAAAAAAAAAAAAACTGAAACAGCAAGAAAATCAAACTGTATGGAAACCTAACAAACAATGAGTTAAAAAAGAAGCATTAATCTGGACTGCTAGAAGGGATGGAGATGGATAGTCAGGGATAAGAGGACTTGTGGTAGGTTGGCGGCAGGCAGACAGGGGGGTGAGGTGGGGGCCGACCCACATTCAAGTGCACATACACCAGGAGGAACAACTGGGGAGAAAAACAGACCGTGTAATCTACGATTGTAGCACAGAAAAACAAAGTTTCAAAACCTCTGGCTCTCAAAACCTAAGGGGGCTTGCAGAGGCGGGAAAAACTGTCAGTCTTACAGGAGATTCTGTTGGAGGGGCCAATGGGGTCCTAGAATGTACACAAGCCCACACACCCACCACCAGAAGGGCACATTCGCTTTGTAGATAGTGGGGGAAGTGACTGAAAACAGGGAGACTGGACCAAACAACATTGTTCCCTCCCTGACACCTCCACTGCACACAGTGCCACAATGCAATGAAGTGGGTTCCCCACACTACCCAATACCTCAGGCTCTACCCCTTAAGTATGACAGGTGCACAGACACCAAGAAATATGACCAAATGAAGGAAGAGATCAAAAATCTACAAAAAGAACTAAGCAACAAACAGACAGCCAAGTTATCACAGGCAGACTTCCAAACACTGGTAATCAGGATTCCCACAGAGATGAATGAGTATGGGTGCAAAATAAAGGAAGAAGTGAAGGCTATACAAAGTGAAATAAAAATATACAGGGAACCAACAGTAAAGGGAAGAAAAACGGGACTCAATTCAACAATTTTGAACAAAAGGAAAACATAAATATTCAACCAGAACAGAAGGAAGGAACAAGAATTCAAAAAAATAAGAAGAGGCTTTGGAACCTCTGGGACAAGTTTAACCATTCCAACATCTGAATCATACAGGTGCCAGAAAGAGAAGAGCAAGAGCAAGAAATTGAAAACTTATCTGAAAAATAATGAAAGAAAACTTTTCCAATTTGGAGAAGGAAATATAAGTCCAGGAAACTCAGAGAGTCTCAACAACTTGGATCCAAACAGGAACACACCAAGACACATCAAAATTAAATTACCCAAGATTAACGATAAGGATAGCACCTTAAAGGCAGCAAGAGAAAAGGAGACAGTTGCATACAAAGGAGTTCCCATAAGCCTATTATAGGCTAACTTCTCAAAAGAAACCTTACAGGCAAGAAGGGGCTGGACAGAAGTATTCAAATTTATGAAAAGCAAGCATCTATACCCAAGATTAGTTGGTCCAGCAAAGCTGTCATTTAGAATGGAAGTGCAGATAAAGGGCTTCTCAGATAAGGTCAAGTTCAAGGGCTTATCATCACCAAGCCCTCATTCTATGAAATGTTAAAGGGATTTATCTAAGAAAAAGAAGATGATCAAAAATATGAACAGTAAAATGACAACAAACTCACAACTATCAAGAACTGAGCCTAAAGAAAAACAAGAAGAAAAACAAACTAAGCAAACAACTAGAACAGGAACACGATCACAGAAATGGAGTTCACAGGGAGGGTTATCAGTGGGGAGGGGCGGGGAAACAATGGGGGGGAAAAAGGTACAGGGAATAAGAAGCATAAATGGTGGGTACAAAACAGACAGCAGAAGGTTAATAATATAGGAAATGGAGAAGACAAAGAACTTACATGTATGACTCATGGACATGAACTAAGGGGAGGAATGATGGAGGGAAGCCGGGTTCAGGGTGGCAGGGGATAAAGGGGAGAGAAAAATGGTACAAGTGTAACAGCATAATCAATAAAATATACTGAAAAAAAAAGATGCTACATTTGTGCTCACATGATTTTTTAACAAATTTTAAAACACAATGTTTCTAAAAGAGATACTTCTAAAACTTTCCAAAAATTATATTCAATTTAGGGATATTTTCATCTCACTGAAACAGAATACAAATTCACCCACAAACCGATATAAAAATTAACCCTATTACAGTAACTACACTGGACAAAACAAACGTCAACCATTAACGAATCACAGAAAGAAACAAGATACCATATTTTCCCATGTATACTGTGCCCCGTTTTGCCTAAATTTTTGAGGGAACACTAAAGATGTACTAAAGATGAACATTATATATGGGTAGCACCTGAAATAACGGATTTTTCAGATTCTTGTACTTTGTAATTATTTGTTACATAAAATTTCCTATACCATAATATGGTTAAGAAAATGCTAAAATTCCTCTGTAACACTAAAGAACAAATAACTAAATATAAATAAATACAGACCTGAATTAAAAATTTAAAATAAAACATACTCTTTTCCTGAAACCTTGGGCAGAGTATGTGGGGGTGCATTACACACAGGAGCTAGTTACACATGGCAGAATATGGTAAGTCATAAAAAACATAAGGTTAAAAAACAGACAAATGTGCATATAATTTTAATGGCAAATGACATATGGCTGATTCATATTTTCATTAAGTCCCACAGTACATTAAGTGTACTGAGTTGAAAACTATCATTCACTTTTCTAATATATGAATAAAAACAAAAACATAACTCAACTAAACTTGGGGAATCTATCATTGAAAAGGAAACACGATGGAAAACCAGTGAAGATTATAGCTCAGTGAGACTGAGGGATGCTGACATCCAAGTCTTCCTCCTACAGGGCTTGACACAGACTTATTGGGACTCACAAGCTCTGCTCTCTAGCCTTGGGACAACAGATTGAAAGGTGCTAGGGACATTCAGGGAGGGACTCAACTGTCTGGCTTCAGGGCTGAGGCAGGAGGAGCAGCTTTCACCCACACAGAAGTCCTGTCTGAGGCCATTATTCCCTTGCTGAGCCCTCTCTACCATAGAGATAGTAGGAAGGTACCATATCTGAATCTCCACGTACCTGGCTAGTGCTATAGCCCTGTCCTAGTGATTCCCTGAGACCTTGCCCCATTCAACTTGAGAACCCATCCAAGCCATGTCCAGTGGCTTCTCCACACAAACGGCCCCTCTTGCGTCATGGTTCAGACTCTCCCAAACCTTTCAATCAAGCTGGATCTGGTATATACATATCCTCTACCGCTCACTCAATGGACACATGCCAGCACTACCCACAGTTGGCCTTGGATCACATCTTGCCCTCTCTGGGGACCCTACAAACCCAGCTGAATTAGGAGCCATCTGCACATCACTCTGTAATGTGTTCCAGGTGATCCTGGGCAATTCAGAGGTGGTGGCTGACCTTGCACCTCCAGGGAGGACCCACAGCCAGTGGACAGCTTAAGTCCATGTTAGACTGCCACCCTACCACTTCTACAAGCAACACACTCAAGGGGCAGAATCAGTGAGCACCAAAGCACCACCAAACAATTTAAAATATATGAAGTGCCTAATAATTCTGTAACTCACTTCTTACCAAAGGATAGTGAGGAAGAAATCAGGTAACAATAGAGACTTTCCTACATGGTGGGCAGTGTTGTCAAGTCAGCTATGGCAGTAACTTACTGAAGAACTTTATGAGGTAAATAAACACAGTAAACTACTCTCACGTGAAGGAGTTAAAACATACACTATAAACATCTTATGCTGTTTGATACTAAGCAGAAAGACATTTTGAAGTGAAACAAAAATCAGATTGTCTCATTTTGGGTGGTGCATCTCGCTGTGATGAAATCACTGAGTCAGTCTAAATTTCATAGGGTCTTATTTGAAGCCTCCATAGTATTAGATTTTATAAACCAGAAAACATGACACCTGTTTCCAGAGTTCTTGGCACTTCTGTACCAAATTCCAGTATCTCAACCTTTTTCTTCATAATCACTTTCCATGAGAAAAAAGGAAAAGTTAAAAAGAAAAAAGCTTAACATACATTTCCCAGCAACATAAACAGATGTTCCCGGGTTCCCAAAGCAATGCAAGACAAGCCAGAGCACGGCAGCTCTCTCAAGTGAAGGAAAAGACTTTGGCTCCAGTGCTAACAGTATGAGAGAGGTCACCGGACATGTTCCAGACAAACTGGCCATCTATGACAGCAGCAGAACTAGACCCGGGCTTCTCAAAATCCCATCCACTGAAGCACAGCTTCCCAAACCACACCTGAAGGTCAGGCTTCCTCCATGACCTTTGGGCCTCTCATCTGTGTCATGTGCTTCCCCATTCCCACCTACCTGGAGGGGCAGATACCATCTTTTCCCTGTTTATAATCCAGCACTCCTTCATTTGCTCCAAAAAGGTGACCAGAACTGGCTTAGAGACAAAAAGACCTGTTTATATGAAAAAGAATCATTAGCTTTGAGGAAATTTTCCCACTTTCCATTCCACTTTCTTCTCAGGTAACTAAACTGGTAATATAAAATATTCTAGAAAATGATTTTTCCAAAATACTGTTTTCAGTAACAACTTAATTATTCTAGACCACATGTAAAGTTTTCAGACACTAAAAGTTTCTAAGTCACATTCTTCACGAAACCTTTTTTTTCTACATTGGATACCTTCCAGTTTCTCCATTGAGAGCAAGAATCTGAAGTGCTCCCACACAAGGAGAAGTCCCTAGAAGATGTTCAACTAACAAAGAAAACAAAACCCCTAGGTGGAGCAGGAGGTCTGAAAGGAAGTCATCCTCACCCAGGGAGACCAGGGTCCTGTAGTTCTCCAACATCACTTCCACGTACAACTTCCGCTGACCTGGGTCCAGGCATTCCCACTCCTCCCAAGAGAAATCTACTGACACGTCCCTGAAGGTCAACAATCCCTGAAACAGCAGAGTTCACAATGTCATCTAACAAGCAAACAGTGTTAGCAGAAGTGGTTTTGAGCTAAAAGAGTATCCTGAGTTACTTACTAATATCATTTTGACTCAGGTATATACTCTATTGTATTTTCAAACACTGAGAAATGAGGTTGACTACCACAAACCCTAAACAGAGACTTTACTTTTTAGGAAAATAAACTTTAAAGTGAAGGCATCTACACATGCATATGTATGTAAGTGTTGAATTTGTATCAATCCAGAATGAGCTGTGTACATTTCTCAGCTACAAAAGTCATGGTGAGTTGAAAGTATAAGTACTTTTTCACATTTAATTCAGACAAGAGAGAACTGAAGATTTGTACAAGCACAGATTCTGATACGGGAGTTCTGGGATGGGGCCTGTGTTTCCACTTCTTTAACGAGCTCACTTTTTACTACTGACAGCAATGTCTCTGGTCCATGTGCCATACTTCTGAACAGCACACAAAAGAATACACAATTCATACATATCTTGAAACTGAAAAAGTTTTATAAAATTTACAGTTTTTAAGAAATAAGAAACAGCCGCCAAAATACTATTTGAAACTTCTGTATAAGTAATCTTAGAACAAAATTATTCTTCTTGTGTTATAAGAGATTTTTGTGCAACATATAGTAGAGTAGAGCTAAATTTTTCTCCAAACTTGATGTACAATTTTTCAACAAACACAGGCAAATACATGTAAAGAGACCTCATGACTATTCATTGGTGTTTCCGTGACTGAGAAGAATGCAAACATCTGAGGAGAGTAAGAAGCCTAAATAACCGAAATGTTAACATTTTATGCACACAGACTGGCAGATATATGGAAACTAGGAACAACTGAAAAGTGACAGAAAACAGAATTTTCATGTCAATGAAATCAAAGTTTGTGATTCTGTAAATCTCATAAATCTAATTGTGGATGGTGCTCTTTATGTTCTGTAAACACAATAAGGAGAGGAACATACATAACGTTAGAGCTATTATTTCATAGTCTTTTATTTCTCTTAACATTTTGTGTATCATTAGTGGAGAACTATTACCTTACAAATTTAACTGAACTGAAAATACACTTATACTACTCTTGTAAACCTTACTGAAAATACAAAAACTAAGAAATACAATATGTCTGTAACGTGAATGTGGAATATACTCAAAATTTACAAGAGTAAGGCCTCATTGATTAAATCCTTCATGTTTGAAACCATTTATCTTGAGGAAATAAATGCAGGGCCTTCATTTTCCAAAGCAAACAAACCCAAATAACAACAACATTTGCAGATAAAATGTGATAAATTTTATCACACTTCTCAGTAATTCCCTGCTAGAACCTTGTCAATGATAAAGGGAAACTTAACTCCATAGTTAAGACAGCACCTTAGTCAGGTGACTATCAGGTAGACTGGAGCTATGCATATGCGGTGACTGAGGCATACAGAAGTACATATCATCACTACTGTGACATTACTGGCAAAAATACAGAAATCAGAAAATCATTATGAGAAAATGATCACAAATAAACATCAATTTTTGCAAATGCAAATTCACATGTACCTGTCCTGTTTTGTACCCTAATCAGTGCATTTAAGTACCAAGACTTTTGTACAAAACGAGCAAACAAGTCTCTTCTCTATCTACTCTTCTTTGTCAGAACTCTCTGAGCTATCCTGACCAGTAAATCGTGAGTTTTCTTACCCCTGACCGACAGAGCTGATGCTGTAGCCACATGAACTTAAAGCCTACATGTCCCTTCCCCACCAACAACTGAGCCTCTGAGCCCATCCCAACAGGGATGTTGGACATGGGTGCCTTCCCATGTTGATATGTCACAGAGGGGATGTGTTCAGTAGTAGAAGGTCATTACCTCAACGTGCAAATTCTTGACCTCAGGGAGCTAAAGATAACGAAGAGAAGGCTATGGAACTAAAGATAAAAGTACATAAACTGTTGACCCTGAAAATCACAAAAAGAAAAAATTAAAGAACAACCTCGCTAAGCAACAACATCAGAAGTAGAGAAATAAATGTTGTAAGATCTAAATCCACTCATCTGAGGAGGAAATCCACTCATCAGAGCCTCTGGCCCAGGACACACAGTTTACCTGAGAAGCGGCCATGTCATCCTGCTCAAGCTCTGGGCTGTTTTCTCAGGGGATGATGTGCTGAGGAGTCAAGTGTGCGCGTTGAGGACATGTCTTCAAAGGTGTCCCCACAGCCTCTTAATCCTCTTCCCCCACACCCACAGGCAGAAGGACCTGGAAATGATGAAAAGGCCACTCTCTCCTGCCCTCTGTCATAGCAGAGTCAGGAACAATGAGCTCGTACATGGAGACCACACTGAGAGATTTTTTTCTCCTTTCAGGTGGTCTTTCCTCCCACAGACGTCCACAAACTCCTATAGCAATGAGAACATGCACTGCTCTCCTGAACCCCAATCCCAGCACAGCACCCTTTTATCTTCCCTGAACAAAGCCTGCTCCTCACACTCACAAATGCATTTGGTGTCCCTCTTGCTACTCCCAGAGACCGCCTTAGAATCTGGTACAAGACCTCAATAAACAACCATGCCCCACCCACAGCAGTTGACCAACTCTGTGGGGGAGCACACAGCTGATGTCTTTTCTTAAAACTCCTCAAGTGAGCTAATAAGAACCAAGGGGGAACCTTTCAGTTTAATGAGCATGCAGATCCCTTGGGGATCCGGGCCCTACTCTAGGTTAAGAATCTGTAGGTCAGCAGTGAGGACCACAAAATGGTATCTTTATCTAGTTCCCTCCTGGTGCCCGTGTTACTCCCCTAGAGCTCATTTCAGTAGCTCTCGGCAACAGATAGTAGACCCAGCACATCTCAGAACTCTGGGTACTGTGAGGCACTGAAGCAAGAACTTTTACAAGTGCAGCACCCTAGGCAGATTGACTTCCTCTTCTCTCAGATAATTGCAGAGAATAGAGATCTTCATGCTAAAAGCTTTGGGAAAAGTCAGCTATTGAAATATGCCTGTCAAATCACTTCACCATGAATAGGTGGAAGGTCACTCCAGTACATCCTTCAATACTTTCAGTGAATGGACAACGGGGACGTGAGGGGAACAGTTCCTTTGTGGCTCATAGTCACTAATTAAACAAATCACATAAAGGGAAGGAAAAGGCTGCTCAACATTGGATGAAGTCATGAAACTAGGTGCTGACTGCTAAGATCACTGACATCCTTACCAAGTGCACACTGGAATAGCCTGGTATTATTAAGTACCAATGGACGTATGATAACGAACAGGAAGGATGCAGGGCTCAGGAATTAAACGAGATACAATCAATTTAAAAGGAAAATGCATTGGCTTTAAAAAAAGGGTAATGATTTCTAAGTTTAAGTGTCAAAAAATGTGAGACTACCTTCTACTTAGAAAACAATGATAAGAGCTGGTCATGATATGTCACCAATGCTCATTTCAAAAGTTCATGATTATTTACAGAAAAGCAGATATTTAATAGACTAGGACTTCTCTCAGTAGGTTTTTTAAATGAATTTAATGTGAGAGTGAGAAAAAAGTAAATTCACAGGAGAAAAAAAAGGCCCAACGTTTTGAATATTTTTTTTTGAAAACGTTTAGGTGGTGAGAGACCCAGTCATTTCTTGTCTCAGGTCACCACCTCCCTTTTGCCATCACGGGAAATGAGAAGGGAATAACTGACAGACAAGTCTCCCCCTCTGAGTGAGTAAGAGCTGCAGCTGGAAGCTAAGAAAGATCAAACTTTTAATCCGGAGATTTAACATTCTTATTCACATCTATAATTCAGCAAATGTTAAAGTAAATATATAAAGTACAAGTGGATATCTCACAGCTTCATCAGTCACATCCCATCAGCTCACCCCTCATCGATATCCCGGTTCCCCTACTCCTACCGCTACTTCCTATTTCTGCCTATGGATCTGTTTCCTTCTCTTCCCCGTTTCTTTTGCACTGTGGTCCTTTTCTGTGTTTCCTCTCCCCCATCTCCTCCTTTTTCCTCTTTTCTCTATTCCTTCCCTACACCTGTTCCGCGAAACTCCTGAAACCTACGGTATTTCAGCTTCACTTGCTCTTTCTCCCCGATCTTTCTGATCGCTCCCATCTCCGTACACTTCTGGCTCCCGCGCTTCCCCTCCCCCATGCCTGTGTCCCCTCTGCTGCCCCGGTTACTGTCTTTCGTGTCACCCCACAGCTGCCTGACTTTCAGTGCAGTTTCCCACTCAAACCCGTCTCTCCAAACCGCCTTTCTGTCCCTGAGGTCGCTCCTCCAACTCCTCTCCTCCGAACCACTCTCCCTGTCTGACGTGCCTCTTATTAAATGGATGACTCGGCGCTGTTTGTCTTTCTGCTCGCTCATCCTCACAACCTCACAACTGTCCTCCCTGCACGTGCCCCCCCCAACTCTTCCACCAACCGCTCTCTTGGTCCACTGTGTGTCCGTGGGGCGGGGGGATGTCTGTGGAGAGGGCTGAAGATCCCACACCGAGGGGGCAATTCGGCCTTCGTGGGCCGAGAATGGCGAGGCGCACAAATTGTTTGTTCCACTCGCGATGTCTCCTGAGGCTTTAAAGGGCGCAGGGTGGGCCGGCTGCCCAGGGAACGGCTTTCCAAATACACGCGGTGGACGGAATTGAACAACCGGAAGGAGGAGAAATCTCCTCAGGGTTTCCGCATAAATGGGCCCTCCGCAGGGAAAACGGTCGGGGTTTGGGGGGCGTCTCACCTGTATGTGGGATTCAGAGCTGCGGGAGGCGCAGCAGCGAGTATTCCAAGGCCCACAGTGATAGCGAGGCTTCCCGCGTTCAGGAGAGCGGCCTGAGAGCCTCTGACTTGAAACCTGAAAGACCGACACCAAGCAGGCTCACGTGACCTTCACTGCTCAGAAACCGCCGCCGGTGAAAAACAAAGTGCGCATGCGTGCTGCTGCCAAGTTACTGTCTAGAGCCGAGTGCTTCCGGGCAGGAGAGGGTTCTCAAGTAAAGGCAGAAGGCGGTGGCCACCTGGATAGGGGACTGGAGTTGACTCAGGATTAGGGCCTGCAGTCGTATACATTGCTCTCGAAGGTTGCATTCTTTCCTTGATCATCGCATTTGTCTTTGGATCCATTTTGTATGGCTTCGATGCAATTACAAAAAAAGTAGCAGAAAAGTCTTTTAGGAAATTCTCAAAAACTGGGAAATTAACGTGCATGTGACTATGGGACAAAGAAAAAATTAATGTGAAACATAGAATGTATTCTGCATCCAACAAAAATGAAAACAACATATTATTTGCCTATACGTCAAGAAAACTGTAAAGATTTCTTTTCTTTTCTTTTCTTTTTTTTTTTGGAGGGAAATGGAGCGAAAACTGATGTGGGAGATACATACCTGATCACTTTCCTCTCTCACCTCCCCCTACTGGGGACCTGGCCCACAACCTTTCCATGTGCCCTTACTGGCAATGGACACTGTGACCTTTCAGTTCATAGGCTGTCAATCAACCCACTGAGTTATACCAGCCAGGACCATCACGAAAATTTAAAATAACAGTTGTCAAGAAAGGATAGCAATTTAACAAACACCTATAAAACATAAAGGTTCTTTTATTTTCATTTTGTTTGCTTTGGTTTTCTGTACATCATTTTGAACTATCTGCCTGTGAAGGGATTAAGTTTGAAACAGCTCATCCAGTCCTGAGGCTACCCAATGTTCAGGCAGCATGGAGAAAGAGGCCTAGGCCTTTGAGATTATTTACAAGTATTTCATCATGACAAACCATTTAAAATGTACAATTGTGGTAAATGAGAACACATAGTTCATTCAGGACGGTTAGACAATAAAAGGCAATGTATTTCTCAATTAAATATAAATGGTTACTCTAAAGCCATAGTTGAGTAGCTCAGTGAGTTAGAACATTGTCTCGCTACACCAACGTAGCGGTTTTATTCCTGCTCACGCCACATTCAACAATCAACCAATGGTCCCTGGCTGGTGGGTCTCGGTGGATTGAATCCCAGCTTGTAAACTGAAAGGCCGCAGGTTCCATCCCCAGTCAGGGCACATGCCTGTGTTGCAGGCCGGGTCCCCAGTACAGGGCATGCTAGAGGCAACCACATACTGATATTTCTCTACCTCTCTCTCTAAAAATAAAAATAAAAAATAACCAATGAATGCATAAATATGTGGAACGAAAAATTTATATTTACCTAACTCTCTGTTTCCCTCTTTCTCTTAAAATCACATATCAATGAATGTGTAAGTAGAAACAGAAATTGTTTTTCTCTGTCCTCTTTCCTATTTATAAAAATAAAAAATTTGAAAAATAAGAAAAATAACTAACAATGTTAAAGGATAAGGAAAGTTAAATAGAAGGAATGGGGAAAATATAAAAAGCGAATTCTTGATATCAATATTTCAAAGTGGTACAATTGTTGGAGATAAAATGCTCCTATCTGCAGCCTTGACTTTGGGAGGTTCAGGTAGATCAGTTGAAAAAAAAAATGTTGCCCTGGATGGTGTGGCTCAGTGAATTGAGCGGTGGCCTGTGAACCCAAAGGTTGCTAGCTTGATTTCCAGTCAGGACACATGCCTGGGTTGCAAGCCAGGTTCCCAGTAGGGGGTGCTTGGGAGATAACCATTCATTGACATTTTCTTCTCTTTCTCCCTCCCCCCCATCTCTAAAAATAAAGGAAAAAAAAACTTAAGAGAAAAGAAAATGTCACTAAAAAAAAGATGCAAGAACAAAAAAAAATTCTTTCACTGAAAACCCCCCAGTGACAAAGGGACAAAGAAAACGTCCTTCCTGGATGTTTTGTTGTGGTAAAACATATTCCTAGATTTTGTTTGGCTTACCACAATAAAAATTTATTTTTCTCCATGCTATAACCATGCATCTTATATCTTATACCTACATCAAACTTTATATTAAATGGCACAGATGAGTAATCACACCAGAGGTTGATAATTGTAACATTAATTATATAACAGTGCAGCTTCCATCAGAAATTTTTCCTGCCTTTGTTCTCACTCAATACAGTTACTATTTCCAATGCAATTACTTAATTTATTCAATGCCCTACTTTAGGAGGGTTCATATTAGAAATACAGGTAGGTTATCAGTCTCCTAATTTAGGTCATTAATAAAAAAGAGTGGTTTCAAAAATATTTAAATACAAATCCACAAACTCTCTACATGCGTTTTCTTCCCACCACTGCCCAACCCATCCATGGACTACAGGGTGCCCAGGGTAGGACTCCCTAGCAGAATTCATTCTGTGTACTCTTCCAACTAGAAGAAGTACTGAGCCAGATCTTGGAAAATGTCATATCTGGCATCTTGTCTGTTTCAGAACACTGTTATAACTTTGTCAAGTACCCATTAGAGTTGAAGGGTTGTAAAGTAAACTCAAAGCCAGAGGGAAACTTTACTCAAAACATCACTCCATCTGTATCCCCTGCAGCTGCACATGCTTGAGTTACAGGGGGGAAATACATTTACTTTTCCCCTCAAAAGAAAATTTAAAGTCCTAGACTTCAGTGACAAATAAACATAAGTGTCTAATAAGACTCCTCCGATTCAAAAACCTATGTAGGGTCCTCCTCACATATTATGGTGGAACAGAACAAGCACACCTCAATAAACCTCCACATTCAGAAAAATAAAGAAAAAAAGAAAGGCGGTACTCAGAGGTCTCCAGTCCACAACAAATGTGCACTTTTGCCAGGCAGAATGTACTTCATGGACCTATTTCTGGGCGACAGAGGGAGGAATGATCTTTTTCTTAACTCCGGTTCTCCTGGGAATACAAATCTAGTTCTTTCTTTGTTCCTGACTTCACCTAGTCATATCTAAGAGTACTAGTAACAATGCCTTTCTTGGGAAATAAGCACTTTCCCCAGCTACCTTCTCCTAACAAATACTAAGTTTCAAGGATTATTGAAAGTTTATCAAATCACAGTGATTTCTGTCGCTGACAGTACCCACAGCACTGGCCAGTGACACTGGCCCACAGTGTGTGTGGTATGAGATATAAGATAAATTGACACAGAGTACCAAGTCCCATGGAGGAAAAGGGACAGAACATCTACTCTCTCAAGGGGAGAGTGCCTTGGAGCAGCCAGGCCACTCTCTCAAGAGGAGAGTGCCCCAACCCTTGCCTTGACAGGTTTTTATTTGGTTTAATTTGCACAGGAATACAGGTACAGCTTATTAATCATTATAAGGCAGAAAGGATCAAATGATAGATAGCACACAAAGAACTATTAGGGCTCATTCTGAGTCAGAGTCTATCAGCAAAAAGGCTACAAAACTTTCCAAAACAAACTCCTTCCCGGCTCAGGCCTTTATCATTTAACTAAGCATTTTTAGCAAAGCAGGTTTCACAGTTGTTTCTGTATTCTTTCTCAGGCCTGATCAACTGGGGAGCCTGCCCTTTCCAGCACAGGGCTGCACTGCCCCCTGTCATTGTTTCAGACTTAAGTCAGCCAGCGGAGGCAAGATAGCCAAGAAATTAGACTTCTTGCAGGCAGAAAGAGGACTCAGTCTTTATCAAAGCCGAAGAGCGAGGGTCCATCACCCCCTTTTGCTGTAGCCCCCCAAGGCCTTCCTTGGGGCCTTCACATGATCAGGCCTTGCTTAGGTCGTTCTCCCCTTGGGGAATCTTACACGTCACTGGCTAACTGATCAACCATTGGGGGATAGTTATGGGAAAATGAGCAGAGGTGGTGCTCCTGCCAGGCAGATAAGCTTTGTTTCCTTAGTGGCTTATGGTCTGAAGGCCACTCTCTCAGCCTGTCATGGGGGGATTACAGCTTCTGAAACCAGACAGGGCGGTTCCCCAAAATTTTCATAATACAACTTTATAGAACTGTAAACTGCACAACAGTACTTTTTTTAAAAAAAGGTTTTATTTTTAGACAGGGGAAGAGGAGAGAGGGAAAGATCAATGTGTGGTTGCCTCTCACGTGTACCACCACCTTCACTGGGGACCTGGCACACAACCCAGGTATGTGCCCTGACTGGACCCTTGGGTTCACAGCTCAGGCTCAATCCACTGAGCCACATCAGTCAGGGCATATTTTTTTTTCTTTAAATAGCATTCTATGTGAAACATAACAGCTCCATTTATTATCTACACCCACCACTCATAGCGACACACATCTGGCTTTTTAGATTTATCTCAGGGTCCTTGTGCTTCTCATGCGTCCCAAAAAGTATAGATTCCAATTTGGATTTGTGTCCAAAGGAGTAACTTCAGGGGAACCATCTAAATCAACTGGAATCTGACTGCAATAGGCAATAGGATCATATCCTTGATTTGGATTTTGTCAGGGTTTTGAGTTTTAACCTCACATTGACCCTAAAAGTACCTTAATGTTAAATTTTAAGAGTCAGGAATGAAACAGTTGTACCTTTTAGATCTTTCTTGCAAATCAGTTCCGAAGTTTTTGATCTCAGGACTATTAAAATATTTCACATGCAGTGGAAAAAATTAAGGTGACTTACAAAAGAACATATAGTCATTGTTTTGGAAAGAGAACAAATTCCTGGTGGTGGACACTGGAGGTCACTTGCCACAGTAACAGGACCACAAACACCACTTTCACACCTAGGTGTGCTGGATCTGAATGTGAACATCACTCATGAAGAATGTCAGGACACCCTGAGGTGAGAGAAGACTATCAGTCACAGCAGTTTTAAGTATGTCATTTCAATAACTTCAATAGTCTGGCACAAATAACACACCTTTTTAATTATAAAATCTTTTATTACACAGTCATAAGTATTTAATGCTATATAATGCAATATCACATACACAATGTTTTTTAATTTTTAAATTTTATTTAAATTGTTGTTGCAGTATAATTTTCTGTTACTCCTATCCCAACCCACCCACCCA